TAAGGGAAGTTATCGATGGAGAATTTGAAGTCACCACTTTTACCATATTTTCCCCTTCGGTAACAATTATTTCATAAATTGTTATCTGTTCTTTCACATAAGATTTGTCGTATTTTCATACAAATCAGGCACGTAGTATCAGGGGGGGGGGGGGGGGGGGGGGGGGGGCAGCCCCCCCCCCCCCCACTTTTTCCCCTGACATTACCTTTAATATAGAAAATGTTTACTGAAAGGAAGGTTGCCCCCCCCCCCCCCCACATTTCATCACAGTGTAGTGTTATAAAGAAAATTTACTCCAAAAAGTTAATTGAAAGATAGTTGGTCTTGAAAAAAGTTAGCCACTCCCCCCCCCCCTCCCCACGAAATAGGATTTTCGACTTTGGGCAACTTTCAATTTTTGTTTTTTTTTTTTTTTTTTTGTTTTTTTTTTTTTTTGTTTTTTTTTTTTGCTTGTCAACTTTTTCAGGTAAGTAAAAAAAAAATTCTCAGGTTGGCCCCCCAACTTTCAAAAACGATGCTACGTGCCTGCAAATGAAGGGGGGATTGGAAGTTTGATGACACATATGGAGTAAACGAACAGTATTTAAGATCAAAAGTGCATAAAACGATACAAAATAGGTGCAGAGCAAACACGGACGTCCAAAACATCAGAGGTGGGATCAGGTGCCGTGGAGGAGTGAGCATCTCACCCGTCGTGTGCTCCCTTCCATGATCGGGAAATAACTGGAAAATCCGTCGTCAATTCTATGTATAAATAATGGACTAACAAATCGTATGAAAAACGTCTGTCAGCATTTCATTCAATGATAAATTGTATTTGCAGACAATGTCATTGAATCGAACAAAGAACTTCCGAAATGATGACTTTTAACGGGACTAGCTCCTGACATTCTTGTTTCATCAACTTTTTAGTCGATAATTTACCTCGTTTTAGAAAATGCTCATGCGTGGAGCATGCTATTGCGTATCGAATCAACTGAGATACATAAACTTCGTATGTAGGTGATAAAGGTATATTGCTGCATAAGTAAGGGAAGTTGACTATATAAAAGTTAAAGTCATCACGTTTATTATAGAGCTTGGTTGTTAGTTTTCCATTAACGTCTTTTTCAAGTAAAATACCCAGATATGAAACAGACGTGTCAGACTGGTATCTTTTATATCAATCCCACCAGGATATATCGTATCGACTTAAGAATGGAAATGAGAATCGTTAATTGACATTAGGTCGTCGATATATCTAAATGTCGAGTTGGAAGCCTGTAACTTTATATATTAAATACTAACAATTTTCTAATAGGTGCGATTGTATACCGAGAGTATTGTGGTTTGGTTGAAAGAAAAGAATGCAAGGTTAGAAAACTGAGAAATGTACGGAAGTCTCCGCTGAAGGCGGTCATAGAGAAACGAGAACTCTAATTTGATACATTTTTTGTAATAAAACACACAAGGAAGGTAACATGAAAATTCACTCATAAATATTGAATTAGTTTTTCATTTAAAGACCCAATTTTTTACCGTACGGTTACCTGAGGAGGGGGAGTGGTCGAAGTACCAGTGATGTTATTTAGCTGGAGACCCCCAATACCCAAGGTGTCAAAAATCTATATACACGTAGCAGTACACATGAAGTCTGTTTGGTAATCAGGGTCAACATTACGTGTTCAGTGTATAGTTTTGAGTGAAACTACGTAAAACATTTATTTTAATATGAACTTTATTTGTAAACTAACAGTATTCATCGTAATGTTTTGAAGGAAAAAAATATGAAGATATATATCATTTTATAAAATGTTTCGTTAAATTAAAGAAAAAAATCACGAGTCAAAACTAAAAACAAATAACATTTATTGTTTTTAATCTTCTATAAACGAAATCACCATAATTAAAAAAGTCTGAATATTGAAATAAAAAGATAATTAAAAACACGGACCTCTAAAACATCAGAGGTGGGATCAGGTGTCATGGTGGAGTTAGCATCCCTGCTGACCTGTCACATCCGCCGTGTGCTCCTTGTCATGATCGGGAAATAACGGAAAAATCCGTCGTCAATTCAGTGTATGAATAATGGACTAACAATAAGTATGAAAAACGGCAGTCATTATTTGACTCAATGATAAATTGTATTTGCTGACTAAGTCATTGTATCGACCAAAGCACTTACGAAATGATGATATTCTTGTTTCATCAACTTGTTTGTCAATAATTTATCTCGTTTTAGAATGAAGTTTTAGAAGGATGTGTCAATCAAACACGTCTAGAAATTTCAATAAACTTTCACAAAAATGCTTTAGCAACATATACGTAAGTCATCAAATGAAACAGAAAATTTGACAAAATGTTAAAATCAAATCTGTGGTGAAGCACCTTTAAATAAAAACTTCATAGTACTTGTCCGTAAAAAAAAAAAAAAAAAAAAAAAAAAAAAAAAAAAAAAATACAAATGACCAATGACAAGGTAAGTAAACTATCGAGTTTTTTTTTTTTTATCAATAACAGTTGTATATGATGTCAAAAACTTGATGAATTTTCTTTTTAATTATGCTTATACTACAAAAAAAAAAAAAAAAACAAAAACAAAAACAAAACAAACAAAAAAACTTACCGATAAATCTTATTTGTGTAAAATGTTGCGCATAATTTTTGAATTGAACATTGCATTAATTTATTCAAATATTCCCCATTTTAAAAAGTGTTTAATACGCATGCGCTATAAATAAAGTCACTTCCGCGGACGTTCTTGATGTAAACATGTTCAAGGTGTAATGCCTCTGTCATATGGAAAAATGTTATCGTGTTTGTGAATAAAAAGAAATCTTAACTGATCCGTATTTTTTTAAATTGCCCACTCATAGTCTCTTTCTGGATTTGTATTAATCTGTATAGCAGTATAATAAGGCACTGTGTAAGCCCCCCCCCCCCCCCTTACAAAAAAAAAAACGAAACAAATTACTGATAAAATGCTGATACATATTCGAATAGGCCTATTATTAAAAAAAAAACAACAAAAGCTAATTTTCGGTAGTGGATGTTCTGCAGACGGATCATTATTTACAAAATATGCAGATCAAATATAAGAATTTTTAATTATAAAGTTTTTACGAATTTATCTAGCCTGCTACAGCCATATTTTCTTCTCTGTATCTCTAGGAATTTTTTGGAGACTGATGACATGTCCATCTACAGTTTTACTTCTGACATTGCTGCAAATACAGCTGTAGTTCGTCTTCCGCGACCGATACCAAGAAACGTTTCTGCTCGATTGTATGTCATAACATAGAACTTTTACTTACAAGAACACATTTGGTGACAACTAAAGGCCTATTTCATTAGAATTAACCGTTTTTCAAGAATTTTTTATTTGTAAAATAATTGATTCACTGTATAGTATTAAAACTTTGAATGGAATTCTAAATGAATAATTTAATCTCATGTGCTCGTGTAATGAAGAAAGACTCATTAAAATAGCATAAGAATCATTAAAATAGCATCGACCTGAATTCGTGTTACATACATGTATGTCGTATAAGTCTGAGCTGCATTTAATCAAAGTTTTAGTGTAGGATCTAAGCATATGTACATGTATAGAACACGAAATTGATACAATAATTTCCTAACGTATTTCTCGTTAATTAACGGAAAACATTCTTTTCTCAAGTGTTATTTATGTTTTGAAAATCCTTTCAGTGTAAGTACATGTATTTATGTACTATTTATCTAGCCCCACCCCCACTTTTTTCCCAACATTACATTTTCTATTGAAAATGTTCATTGAAAGACAGGTTCCCCCCCCCCAAACCCCCCCCCCCCCCCCCCCCCCCCCCCCCCCCCCCCCCCCCCCCCACCCCACACACACACACAGTTTATACTACGGTAAAGATATAAGGGAAATGTAGTATTGTATGCCAAGGAACTGGTACTGAAATAAGTAGCTTTTTCGACTTTGGGCAAGGTTTTCCTTTGCTTGTCAACTTTTTTAGGTAAGAAAAAAATATTTCTTTAGCTGCCCCCCTTTTAAAGACGATGCTACGTGCCTGGCTAATTCGTATATCTTTCTAGAAAGGGTGGTGGCTAACAGGCCCTTTATAAAACCGCTTATTATCTAAAAAAAATTGCAAACTGTTTCCTTCTTTTAGATTTTTTAAATGCAGTGTGTAAGTTGATCACTATTTTGTTGGATTATCGTAATGCGTAGTCCGCGGAAGTTATGCTAGTGTAGAAGAGCTCCGATTTTGAGGGGAGATAACTCACTTTTTAAAATGGGGAATATTGAAAGATATTTTTGACACAAGAGGTTCTTATCAAACAAAAGCTCATTACATACTTCAAACAATAAATTGCTTTCCTTATTAATTCAAGATTTCTTTCTCCAATAGTTGCAACAGTTAAATCCAAAATAATTACCATTAGCGATTGTTTTCCCTTGAGATTTAATGGAAATCATGATCAGTATTTACAACATACAAGCACCTATACGTATATTCACCTTGTCACTGCGAGGTAGAATATACAAGAGGAACTACATTTGAATCAATACACTTGGGGTATTATATTGTATATTCTTTGAGCTCAATTTATAAAACAAATTACCTTTCTTATTCCAGTAGAAATAAAAGAAATTTACATTTACAATTAGTTTGTCATGTTCCCCCGAAATAGTCATGTGAGTTATACGTTTTAGCGTTACATTTAAAAAAAAATTTTTTGTTTTTTGTATTTTGTATATATGTCCTTAATTTGTATGCAATTATAATTATTTCGTTAACAATAAATATTCATTGGCATTCAAACGATTGTGTGTTTTTAATTGTTAAATTACAATTTTGACAGGATTTTCTCCGAGAATATCAACATTAACAACAAGTAAGTCTTTCAGTTTGTCTAATTATGCATTCTTGTTTTTCATGGTGTTTTCTATGCACAAATATACAAATTAAAGTGGAATAAATAAGTAATTTTCATATTTTTAGCGTCACCATGTGCAGCTGCAGGAATGTGCTGTCCAGGAACAAAATATGTCATGTTCCACAACAGGTCCATTGATGTTCAAAAACTCTTCAGGACTGTGTTATTGTGATAATTATTGCTTGCAAAGTCGAGATTGCTGTGTTGATTACAAAGAAACTTGTCAAGGTACTATTATGAGTTATGGATAGAACACTTTACAAAATATTAACAAGGCAAAATTATTCTGAAGCTTAACATAAATATAGTTAGGAATGCAGCCTGTTTCTAATTGAGACAGAAGTAGTTTGTCGGGACATTCTTCCTAACACTTCAGAAAGATATTTTTGTTTATTTTGTTTTTAAAGGCTCTCTCTACAACAGAGCAAAATGTTGTTTTGGATATTGAGAAATTGAGAAAAATATATTGTTTTAAGGTGTTAATATTGAGCTTAGCTATTTAATTTTCACTATGTAGTACCTAGCATTTACCCCAGAAAAAATTTACAAATACAACACAGTATCACGGAACAGAATTCACTGTCGTTCACTTCACTACAGGTAATACCTGGTACATGAAAATAACAATTATTTTATCTTGGCCTTTTAAAATGTCAAGAATGCTTGAATGGATTACAAATTGAGTAATATACTGTAAATTTCTATTTGAGAATTTAGATCCAAGGACAGATCACTCTAACTGCAAAAAGATACCATAGAATCAGAACTCTTAAGTGTTCAGTGTAGAGAGGTTTCTAAAAAAAAAATCGCCAAATCAAATCTGTAGATGCTAGTTGTAAAAAAACAAGGATATATTTGTGATTTTTGAAAAAAAAAAAAAAAAAAAAAATAAAAAAATATATATATATATATATATATATATATATATATATATATATATATATATATATATATATATATATATATATATATATATATATATATTCTTTTAGACTATTATTTATGAGGTCATTACGCTGAATTACCCTGAGGGGTACCATATTCACCGAACTCAACAAAGGTAAAGTTGAATATTGTACTTCGAAGGTGTTTACTTCTCTGTATTGACTGCAAAGAGCAGCAAAAAAGGGATAATATAAAGGAAACATATCTGTCTAAACTGGTAATATTATTTTGTTTGCTTGTTTGTTTATGTGTGTAAGGGTGAGGGTGTGTGTGTGGGGGTGGGGTGGGAGGGGGTGGGGGGTGATGTTGATTCGGTTTGTGTTAGAGTCTATGACATTAGAGAGCATTCTGTGGTAGGAAAATACTCTTTATCATCTAGGAAAACAATATACTTGACTGTTGATTTAACATGATGAAAATAGGGGAACTTGTTTTATATGAGAACATCGTTTACATGCGAAGCGGTTTACAAAAAAGCGTAAACTACCCCAGTTTATGTTATATCGTATAGCATAAGTTGAAATATACTTCATTCAGTGTAGAAAATGAGTCAGTTTTTCCTCGGGAAAAAGACTTCATATTTAGCATATTTTAAAGGAAGCGTAAAGCGGAGTAATACGTTTTTGACTAAACTCATTGTGACATAGGCAAGTTTTGTTATACAAAATGGATCAAATCTTTTACCCAATCAAATGACATGTTACAACTAAAATTGAATTATTACTTAGCCAATTCTGCATTTAACATTAACACCATACCTGAATTATTAATACACGATTTAAAGGCACTTACTGTTTACTGTCCATGTATTTGATTTTTCATAGATTTGTTACTGTATTTCAAAGAATACTTCTAAAACATGACTTACATTATTGTGATAGAAACACACAACACCCCTTAGTAATTAAAGGTAAATTGTAGAGGTGCAAACAAATTATTTAGAAAGAGGTACCTTTAAGAGCTATATAACCTTTACCATGTAAAACACATAATCTATTGTTTAAATTAGTTTCGTTGTTTTAAATTTTTAGCAATAAACGAGACTTCTTCAGAAAAATCGTATCATTCAACAGGCATTGTTTCTACAACTTCACAGCAATCTTCCCTAGGAACAAGTCCTACAATTCAACAAACAGAGACATCGCCAGAAACAAGTCCCATAATTCAACAAACAGAAACATCGCCAGAAACAAGTCCCACTATTCAACAAACGGAAACATCGCCAGAAACAAGTCCCACAATTCAACGAACAGAAACATCGCCAGAAACAAGTCCCATAATTCAACAAACAGAAACATCGCCAGAAACAAGTCCCACAATTCAACAAACAGAGACATCGCCAGAAACAAGTCCCACTATTCAACAAACGGAAACATCGACAGAAACAAGTCCCACAATTCAACGAACAGAGACATCGCCAGAAACAAGTCCCATAATTCAACAAACAGAAACATCGCCAGAAACAAGTCCCACAGTTCAGCAAACGGAAACATCGCCAGAAACAAGTCCCACAATTCAACAAACGGAAACATCGCCAGAAACAAGTCCCACAATTCAACAAACGGAAACATCGCCAGAAACAAGTCCCACAATTCAACAAACAGAAACATCGCCAGAAACAAGCAAAATCATTCTACAAACACAGACATCGTCAGAAACAAGTCCCACAATTCAACAAACAGAAACATCGACAGAAACAAGTCCCACAATTCAACGAACAGAGACATCGCCAGAAACAAGTCCCATAATTCAACAAACAGAAACATCGCCAGAAACAAGCCAGAAACAAGTCCCACAATTCAGCAAACGGAAACATCGCCAGAAACAAGTCCCACAATTCAACAAACGGAAACATCGCCAGAAACAATTCCCACATTTCAAAAAACAGAAACATCGCCAGACACAAGCAAAATCATTCTACAAACACAGACATCGCCAGAAACAAGTCCCACAATTCAACAAACAGAAACATCGACAGAAACAAGTCCCACTATTCAACAAACGGAAACATCGACAGAAACAAGTCCCACAATTCAACGAACAGAGACATCGCCAGAAACAAGTCCCACAATTCAACAAACGGAAACATCGCCAGAAACAAGTCCCACAATTCAACAAACGGAAACATCGCCAGAAACAAGTCCCACAATTCAACAAACGGAAACATCGCCAGAAACAAGTCCCACAATTCAACAAACGGAAACATCGCCAAACATCGCCAGAAACAAGCAAAATCATTCTACAAACACAGACATCGCCAGAAACAAGTCCCACAATTCAACAAACAGAAACATCGACAGAAACAAGTCAAACAATTCAACAAACAGAGACATCGCCAGAAACAAGTCCCATAATTCAACAAACAGAAACATCGCCAGAAACAAGTCCCACAATTCAGCAAACGGAAACATCGCCAGAAACAAGCAAAATCATTCTACAAACACAGACATCGCCAGAAACAAGTCCTACAATTCAACAAACGGAAACATCGCCAGAAACAAGTCCCACAATTCAGCAAACAGAGACATCGCCAGAAACAAGCAAAATCATTCAACAAACAGAGACATTCTCATCTAAAACGTTTTCTGAGGAAACTGTCACAACTTTGTCTTCAACTACAGATTTCTTAACTACCGATGCCACAACTGAATTAAAGAAATCAACTTTTCATTACACATCATTAGATACCGATACATGGGAAACATCTACCAATGCTTTTTCCCCTTCAACAATCTTCACATCTCAAAGTCAGATTTCAAAAATTGAATTATGAGCAATCATTAATCAATTTACACATGTTTCTTAACTAATAATCATTATTTTTATTGATTTATTGATAAAGGAATATCATTTATCCGTCCAATTTGTCATATAAGTTTATTTTCAATTTTATCTTCAGAACCATTAAGAGTTACCAATCTTACTGCAGAATGATGTACATGTACACATGTATATTTGCTAGAATATATATTGCTTGCAAAAAAACCTTTCTGCGAAGATCAACTCCATATTAAGACTAAGTTTGTTTAGTGTTTATAACCAACTGCTCTTGAAATTAAGAAATCTGTGTCTAAAATTATTGTCAAAAATTGTCCTATTGTTAATTTTGTGGATATCTTCAGTCACTATCTGTTTTTTCTTCTTCAGAAATATCAGAGATCACCCAGATTACAACAAGTGAAACTATTGACCTTTCAAAATCTTACTCGACTCCATCAAAGGCAACAGAAAGTTCCACAGGTGCCAAGTTTGATCATCAACTTCAAATAAAAGCATATGATATTATCAAAAAATGTTTGGCTCCAAGACCATAAACAGACTCAAGTCAAAATTTAGAATTTTGATATGAATATCGTTTAACATGTATCAGCTTAATATATAGCAGTTTTGTATATTTAAAATTGTTTTTGGACATCTAGTGAAAAAAAATTATTTCATTATCGAAATTTTTTTTGAAATTTTTACTTGAGTCTTTTCTCAATTTCTGTGGCCTGTTTATCTACCTACTTTTCATTTAAAATCGACCTAAATAATATTTGGAGCCTGAACTCAGGTGACTTATTGCTATCCGTTTTCGTCCGTCGTCATGCGTCGCGGGTTAACATTTGAATATTTTCAGCTTCTTCTCTGCAACCACTCAACCAATTTCAACCAAATTTGGCATAAAGCATCTATAGGTAAAGGAAAACAAAAATTGTGAATTTCATGGTCCCTGCCCCCCTGGGGCCTGAGGGATAGGGCCAAAAACACTAAAATTAATGTAATCTTAAAAAATTCTTCTTTACACCTGGACATCAAGCAAACTGTTTGCATGATTGTACTGTAATCAGTATTGAGTTCTTTACCAAAATTGTAAAATTCATGGCTCCAGGGTCAGTGGTTCTAGTGCTAGGGCGGGGCTAAATAGATTATATAATGAAAATGCATTATTTCTTTGAAATTCTTCTTCTCTGTTCTTGGGTTTTGAATAAACTAAATAAGTAAATAGTTATAATGAGAAAGAATGTCTCTACCAAAATTGTGAAATTCATGGCCCTGGGGTTATGGGTCCTAGTGCTAGGGCGGGGTTAAATAGATTATATAGTGAAAATCTTCTCTGCTCCTGGGCATTAAATAAACTAAATAAGTACACAGTTATGTTGAATAAGGCTGCCTCTACCAAAATTGTGAATTTCATTGACCCAGGGTCAGAGGTTCTGGTGTTAGGGCGGGGCTATATAGATCATATAGTGAAAATACATTAATTCTTTAAAAATCTTCTCCTATGCTCCTGAGTACTAAACCAATGAACTATGTACATAGTTATGATGAGGAAGGATGCATCCAGATTTGTGAATTTCAGAGCCCGAGGGTCAGGGGTTTTGTTGTTAGGACAGGGCTCTTATAATTATTGAAAATGCATGAATTCTTCGAAAACCTTTTCCTTAGCTCCTGGGTATTATCACAACTTCTAAGTACATATTATGATGATGAAAGAATGTCCCTTCCAAAATTGTTAATTTCAGGGCCCCTGTATTAGGGGTTATTGGGGTGGGGGTCTATTGATTATAGTAGTGAAAATAAATTTCTTTTGAAATCTGCATCTTTGGTATTAATCAAACTTTATAGTGAAATAAAACTGATGAATAAGGTTTCCAGAATTATCAAAAATGTGAATTCCATGGGCCAGGGTCAGTGGTTCCTATGGGGTGCATATATAAAGTGGAAATGCATTTTTCTTTAAAACTCTGATCTACCTCTGCTATTGAGTAACCAAAGTAAGAACTATGTATAATTATGATAAGCAATAGTGCATCTTTCAAAATTTTGAATTTTATGAGCCCAAGGGTCACGGGTTTCATTTGTTGGAAGTTGTTTCATATATCAGGTGAAAAATAAGGCTTTCGAAAACCTTTTCTTTTTTTTTTATCCAGGGTGTCATTTATTTGATGTGTTCTAAGTACATATTAATAATGAATTGAGTCTCTCTTCACTTATGATATTTCCATATAACATCTAAAATCATATATTTATTTGTTTGTTTTTAATCGTTTTATACGAACGCCAGTGCAAGATAGAAAAATGTATTTTATCAGGTGGCCGCCAAATAAGTATTTAGTGGCTGCCATATAAACATTTGAAAGCATCCAGAAATCTTTTGCTGTCTCTAGAACTTTAACTGGCTTCTCTAGATATACCATTGTTTTCTATAGCTAACTGTAGATTACGTACTTCGGCTTCTAAAATTCACATTGCAAACTACTTTACAAGCAAAACTTTATGAGAAGAAAAATGATTTTTTCTTTGAAATTACAAAATTATGATATTTTGAATTATATGATTTCTTGTTTCTGTAATTGTAAAATCAATGAAAGAATCTCTTACAGTGTAGCATTGAAAACAAATCTAGCGAAAGCTATATAAGTTAAAAAAAAACTCATTGACTTGGTAATTTTAAAAAAAATAGACAAGGAAGATTCATGCACGTGCCAGCATGGAGGGACTTGTAAAGATTCGGTCTGTGTGTGTGCTATTGGATACCAGGGCATATATTGTGAGGATGGTTAGTATTATCTTAATTTACAAAATTCCTCTCTGAACTTTCCGCCGATGATGCCTAATATGATTTCTATAATGGTTATTGGGAAATTAAATCATTATTTAAAAAAATTATTTAAGACACAGCTAAAGAAGTATATTGTGACAATCTAAATCTTTTGGGGTTGAATAAAGAATCAGTGAAATCATCTTAAGCGAATGAAAGATAAAAAGATATCTAATATAACATTGTAACTACAGAACACATAGAAATCCTATCCTATAAGAGTAGCAACTCAGTAATACGTGAAGGAAAGTCAGCATGGTTCCAAGCAGAGATCGTCGGTCCTGTTGGTTTCAGTGTCCAGTGGTCTCGAAATGGAGATTCAATAAGCAGCACAGCATCCAGATATGTAATGACGTCATCCAAAACAGCAAATGACACAACGATACATGTCCTGAATATCACAACTGTTTTACAACGGGATGAAGGTAAATTAAAATGATATCTCAATAACACATTCATGTAATTTACAGTGTACTCATATAGACGATTTTTTTGAAAAACATTTTTCTTTATCTTTCTCATAGGTTATTGGACAGTGGAAGCATTAACAAGTTTGACCACTGAAGCCAGAATTATAACAGTAAAGGGTACGAATACATATACATAAGATATAAGTGGAAAAATATTTAATTCGTATTCGTATTAATTCGAGTTATAATTAAAGACCTATTTAGTAAGATTTTAATATTTGTGAAGGTCTGTCTTCTATCTAGGTTTATGTCGAGTTGAAGGCCACATGAAGTGTTTTCCTCTACTCATGTAGAAGTTTTTTGAATACTTTTTGCTTCACATGAATCAGCTTGCAGAGGAGAAAAAAAAGTGACCAACGAGTGTAATGTAAAATATTCCATCAGTTATTCATTCTGCCTTTTAGTACTTCCAAGACTTTTGCTGCAGATGGCACCAGAATATGATTTCTCAATTAAAACCGGTGAAAGTATAAATCTCCGATGTGACGTCATCAACCCTAAATCCCTGACTGGTATATCTGACGGAAGTTTAGTCTGGAAGAAAGATGGCATTGATATATTACTAGGTATGGAATGTATATTTCCTTAAGCGTTTTCATTTTTCTTTTTTTCTCCTTTCATTTAAGCATTGAATTCATATTTTGGGATGTCTTTGGTCTTATAACTACGGAATCCCATTTAGGACCTATCAAAAATATTTTTGAATTCGTTATAGCGATTTTTAGAATTCGTTATAAAGAATTTAATTTGTTATAACAGATTTTCAGAATTCTTTATAACGAATTTAATTTGTTATAACAGATTCATTGAATTCGTTATTACGAATTTAATTCGTTATAACAGATTCATTGAATTCGTTATAACGAATTTAACTTGTTATTACAGTTTCGCTGAATTCGTTATAACGAATTTACGTTATGACGATTTGTTGAATTTGCTACTTTCAAGAATTTATTTTGTAATAACAGTTAAATTTTATAATGAATTCAATATCTTCATAAAAAGTTCGTTAAACGAATTCGAGAGAGAGAGAGAGAGAAATGCGCTTTTGTATTCAATTTATGTGGCACGGCCAGGTGTGTTATTACGGAAGCCCATTTAAAAAGATATTATTGAATTTGTTATAACGATTTTTACAATGTGTGTAACGAATTTAATGTGTTGTTTATTTGTAATAACAGATTTATTGAATTCGTTATAACAAATTTAATTTGTTATAACAGATTTATTGAATTCGTTATTACGAATTTAATGTGTTATTACAGATTTGTTGAATTCGTTTTAACCAATTCAAGAATTTGGAATTTTTGAATTGGTTATAATATATATTAGCAAATTAAAGTATTCGTTATAACAAATTCAATAAATCTGTAATAACAAATTAAATTCGTTATAACGAATTCTTAAAATTCGTTATAACGAATTCAAAAATATTTTTTGATAGGTCCTAAATGGGCTTCCGTAGTTATAGGACCGAAGACATCCCAAAATATGAATTCAATACTTAAATTTACATTCTTTAATTTTTTCTCTTCATAATTATTTATTTCGGTAATCTTTGATGTGAATTTAGCGTCAGGTCAATGCTTTATAGACGTAAGAGCCGTTTGTGACGTTTGTGACGTCGTAAAGTTAAATAATGCAAACGAACATTGAGAGGAAAAACAGTGACAAACTAATTTTAAATGCACATTTGTTGTATTTTTACGTTAATTCAACAGGGTTAATTTTTTAATATTAAATTGTGTCACACAATGTACATTTTGGTGTTCATAAAGTATTGAAATTGCATATTGTTCCTACTGTGTATTCTAACGCGCGGTGACAAGGTTTCGCGTGTGTTACAGAGATTTGATATATTATAGTCATGGATTTCTAATGGATTTCATAAAGAAAATTACACTGAATGTAAATATATTACAATATAGTGGACCAACTTAAAAAATGCAAATACTGTGACATATGCAAGAACCTTTTCATATTATATGAATATTTTAGATTCTGGATTCAATATAAGCACATCAAACGTATCTTCTACATTGGAGAAAGAATTGGCGGATTTTGGTGACGCAGGACGCTTTTCGTGTTCCCACTCTACCTATCCAGATCCAGTATCTGTTTCTATAGCTATTTCTGTTACAAAACCAGGTATGTCATTCATGTTGTCTGCTTTCACAAATCTGATTATTTAAGGACAGATGATACTTCCTCAATGATATATTATTTTTCCCAAGATTTTGTCATTGAAGTATTGCTAGTGGAATATGTTTAGTCACTACTGACTATGTTTACTTGAATATAATTACTAAATTGAGGTACCTTATCAGGCATTTGTGCAAGATAGCAGAGTGGAGGATTCTTATATAATCCTTCTGGTAAAAAACTTAATTTTACCAAAATCAATTTCTAAGTATTTTAATATTTTTAAGACGATAAGAAACTGGTTCAGAAATTGGAATTTAATCAAATATTTGAATATTTTTCATACATTACAAAAATGTACAAAACAGATGTTTGAGGAACGTATCATCTGATCTTAATATACGTGTTTTATCCAAAAGAAATATTTCTATTTAAAATATGAAAAGCTAGCTACCGGAAACCATTTAACCATTTAAGAAAATAGAAATATAGTTTTCATCAATCTGTTTTAATTCAATTTTAATAAACAGAACAAATCAGATGTGCAGACGACGAGTTTGACAATATAAAATGGAAATCTACGATTGCTGGAACAACTAAAAAGGAGTCATGTCCTGAAAACCAAAAAGGTATAATTTAAAGTCAAAAACCTAATGTTGATTTTTAAAAAAAATGAACTTTTGCCATTCACAAATCAATGCATAAGGAATCATAATAATCAAAACAATAAGTTAAAAAAAATTAATTCTTACCCCTACATATATATTTCTACTTATGCGAATTGTAAGCCATTTCTTCAAAATGAAATGAGAGATTATTGTTTTTTTCTATTTCAAAGGAACTGCGACTAGATATTGTAATTTTCAAGGTCTTTGGGAATCCCCCGATCTCATCAACTGTACTGATGTCGCTTTGGTAAATGCCAATGAGGAGGTAAGTATCTGATGGATACGGAAATCACTTTATATGACATTATGAGTGTTTAAAAAAAAGTTTTCCTCTCCATAGATTTTAATCTTATCAAATTTTATCACAGAATTTCTAAATTCTAAAAATACATTTTTTCTTTTAATCTCGTAGATGAAGCAAATAAAATTTATGTGACTTTTTTTTCTTCATTTGGTATATAAAATGTGTGTAAAAACAAAAATATTAATACAAATATGTATTCAAATTTGTTAAATTAAATGATCACGCTGTCTTAGCTGACATGCTGATATCGTTCAATTATGTTCAAATTATAACCCTCGCATAGAATTGGGCCAAATATGCAGTAAATAAATTTTCAAATGAAGAAAAATATTACCTTAATTGGTAAGATGAGTCTTAGCCATATTTCGTTTTGTTTTAAATTCATAATAGCATCAATTTCATTTTTCATATCCTCAGTTGGATAGTATAATTGCTGATGGCACAACTAAGAATGTAGATGAGGCTGTGAACAACACGTTAGTGAAGATGAAGAATCTGACGTCACAAAGAAGTGAACTGAGTGCCGGGGATATTAGCTCCTCTCTTGACATCCTAGAGAAGATTGTCAACGTCACAAATATGACAAGTGCCAACGTGCAGAAAGAGGTGAGATTAATGTTATACATACATTCTCTTTTAAGTCTTCAATGCATTTGTTTGCATGTGAAAATGCTTACATATTGTTCCTAATTGTTTTCTTTTTAGAAAGCTTTACCCTTATTTCTGTTTGAAAATAACCTCCATTAAGTAGCCTTATCTTAGCTTTGGACGAGATTTGAACACAACATATTTAAATCATACATACAAACTACACACGATATACAAACGGAGGCCAAATGCTTAATAGAATGCTCCCATTTGTTATGCGTAAAGAAGGATATGGAGATAACGAACAATATTCAATCTCAAAGTCCATAAAACAATACAAAATAGGAGCAGAGCAAGCACGGACCTCCGAAACATCAGAGGTGGGATCAAGTGGTCATAGAGGAGTGAGCATCCCTTTCTTAAAAAATGTTTTAAAAATCATTAGAACGAGGTTTTCAGGAAGCAAACACATGATTTGCCTTTTAGTGAACCTTCAAGTATATTTAATAAATAATTAAGTATGACCAACTCAACTTTGTTTAATTTATTTTACAATGATTTCCATATAAAATCAAATATGTCTAAATTTCAGACAAAGAGAGAAGTAATTGATTTGAAACTTGGATACTGAATTCTCTTGTACATGTAGTTGCAATAACTCATTAGTTAAGAGAATTTCTCAGTCTATGGTGAACAATGTAAATCTGCCTCATATATTAAAAAACCGAACCTTCTTGTCTTTGGTATATTAATTATAGATACAGGGAGCATGATCCCTTTACACAACTTTCCGCTTAGTGTACTACCCTCATACAATGCACTTGCAGCGCAAGCGCTTTGCTTTGAGTCCATCCACTACTAAGATAGAAGACATACAGACAACTCAGATCAGACCCATCCTATCATGTAAACGCCTGTAATGATAACACCTGTATTAAGTTCTATCACTTTATTATTAACACTTTGAGCACAAAAACACACATTTATTACAATCAACATAATTGGAAATAAAAAGGCCGCAATTTTTTGTGGGGGACGGGGGATACCTACAAATGTACCAAAATAACCATGGGCACATGGGGGGCCGAGTGTAAGTACAAGTGCCCGATCCGAACGGTCACCACGTTCTGGACCAGTGAATGCGGGACTGCCCTTCTCCCTGTCTCCAGCGCCACCTGGTGTACCCACTTACTTTACCAGACTGTGGCCTCCCCCCGCTTGTGCGAGGTGGAGGTGGAACCAGCCATGACAGGCCATGAACCACGGATGTTACCATATAATGTTACTTTAGACAACTTATGTGCTACATGTACTTATGTATTACATACCAAAACGCCCCCCTGCTTTGAGGCAGGGTGGGGAGACAACCAGGTTATGGGGCCACTTGATCCCAACATACACAAAAGTATCACCCAGTCCCCGCCCCCCCATCCCGGAATTGCGACAATAAAAAAGAGGGTTAAAGGATAAATTCCCAAACATGATTTTCCCCATTTATGATTAACCAGGCTTCCCCTGTTATAAAAGTGTCCATGGTAGATAATTTACACTACATGCACTAGAAAGTCTAATGAACTGGTATAAGCGTGTATTCCTTGATGGTCATAGGCTCTGTGCTGCTCACATTTTCCTACACTGATGGATGCCTGCTATCCCCATGGATCCACATTCCAGTTTCCTGCAAGATAAAACAAAACCAGCAGAAAAGAAAACTCTTTAATTTATAATTATTAACGACCTTTCAACTATTAATTACAGGGGTGGGTGGGCTGGGAAAAAAGCGTCTGATTTCAACAATTTGCTGGTTTGAAAAGGGAGATAACTTCCGGTGCATCTTTGTAATTAATTCGTACACAGTTTGACTCGTAATACGACTTTGTATATTCCTGATGTAATAACTTGTGTACACTTCGTCCCAAATAACCAAACATTAAAGCCCTGTCCTAAATTAATAATTTACTATTTGATATAAAATCAAATAATCTTGATTAATTATAGATACAGGGAGCATGATCCCTTTACACAACTTTCCGCTTAGTGTACTACCCTCATACAATGCACTTGCAGCGCAAGCGCTTTGCTTTGAGTCCATCCACTACTAAGATAGAAGACATACAGACAACTCAGATCAGACCCATCCTATCATGTAAACGCCTGTAATGATAACACCTGTATTAAGTTCTATCACTTTATTATTAACACTTTGAGCACAAAAACACACATTTATTACAATCAACATAATTGGAAATAAAAAGGCCGCAATTTTTTGTGGGGGACGGGGGATACCTACAAATGTACCAAAATAACCATGGGCACATGGGGGGCCGAGTGTAAGCACAAGTGCCCGATCCGAACGGTCACCACGTTCTGGATCAGTGAATGCGGGACTGCCCTTCTCCCTGTCTCCAGCGCCACCTGGTGTACCCACTTACTTTACCAGACTGTGGCCTCCCCCCGCTTGTGCGAGGTGGAGGTGGAACCAGCCATGACAGGCCATGAACCACGGATGTTACCATATAATGTTACTTTAGACAACTTATGTGCTACATGTACTTATGTATTACATACCAAAACGCCCCCCTGCTTTGAGGCAGGGTGGGGAGACAACCAGGTTATGGGGCCACTTGATCCCAACATACACAAAAGTATCCCCCAGTCCCCGCCACAGGACATAGACACTATGTCCCCCACAAAAATTGAGTATTTGAAATAAAACATTGAATTAACTTGGAGGATATACATTGGTTCTCTTGTTTAAAAACATGTGTAGAGCAGACTGCAGGTTATTAAGGTAAACCTCAAGACCAGTTTTTGACAAGTGGGTACCATCATGCCTGAACAATTGTATTTCCGAGATTTTAATGGTTGAGTCATTATTTATGTAACAGCCATTAACTTCAGTAGTTATAAACTTTTTGATAGACTTGTTAACTTTGAGCCTTTTCTTGTTAATTTTTGCACCTGCTTTGGGAGGGGCACCATGCCAGTACAGCCCAGGTAATATTGAAGAAAAAATTAAAGTGGTACTTGGGAGAAGTGCGTTATAGCGATACAGGCTGCACTGTATTTGATGAATAAGTTTGATGCTTGTTAAATCTGGTGTAGTTAAATCATTAGACCCAAGGTGTATCAATAGAAATTTGGGTGTAGGATACTGAAGTAAATAATCCGAAACTGCCTTGTCTAACTGATCCCAAAGCATACCCCTACGCCCTAGCCAAGAAATTGTGGCAGGTAAATTAAGGTTACTTCCACCTGATCGATAGGTTGCAGCATGCTGGCCTGCCCAGAATGGAATTGATGATGCAAGTATCCAAATGGTTGGGGTACCTGAAAAATCTTTGGTAGAGTTAGTAGGTGCTACAATCACAGGGGACAGCTTTACTGTCTCCTAATGTAAGTTAAATATGAAGTTGACCGCCATCTTCCTTTTGCTTTTATTTCAGTATCCGAGAGACCTTGTTTGGCAAGCTCGGTTGCCATGCCAATTCTGAAACTATGTGACCTAAAGTGCCCTGTGACCCCAATGAATTGTAATGCTTTTTGTAAAATGGCTTGAAACGGTACTTTGTAAGGGGCTTAGAATTTAGATGTGTAAGAAGCTTGTCATTTCTTTGTAACCCCTCTCTTTAAAGCAGAAAATTATTTAAGATTGTGATTGGGCTGATAATGGATTCCGTATGAGAGGCGATATCTACTTTAACAGATTGTCCAATTTGGTCCGTTTTAGATCTTTGAATAGTAATTTGGCAAAGGTTTTGATTCTTTATTGTAATGTCTGAGAAATTGAGTGCCAGTGTTTCACTTACTCTTAACAAACCATAAAATGTAAGCGTAAATGCTGCTGAAAAGAGGGCGGATTCATATCCGGAACTGCAAACATTGGGCAGGGAATGGATAATTTTGTGAAAAAGCTCAAATGAAATAGGGATTCTTTGGTCTTTGTTTGTACCTACTGATCTACGCAGCCCTTCCAGGGTTTTAGAAACTATGAAACATTTTGTTATGTCCTGAAAGCCATGTATTTTGTGTATGTATGAGATTGCATTTAGGTACAGTGATACTGTTCTGTATGACATATTGTTAAGTGAGAGGAAACCAATAAAATTCACGAGCTGTTGCACTGGTGCTGGCCATATAATTTGGTAATTAAATTCTGAAATGAAGTTTTGAAATTTGTTCAGCGCTGTTGAATATGCTCGATGTGTTGATGGTGCTATTGAACATTGTAGTAATCGATTGGCTTCAAGCATTATATTTCCCAGATGTGGCTTGGTAGTGGGGTGGGCCCTAGGTCTGCCTGCGGTGCCAGTCGCCTGAATCTGCCCCACTGAAATCGAGATAAGGAGTCTGCAATGAAGTTTTGTTTTGTGGGGATATACAAGGCCTTAATACAGATATTTGACTTTAGGCATATTAACACAAGCTTGCGGACAAGATTCATGACCCTATCAGATTTAGACGTCGAGTTGTTGATGATGTGGACAACTGACATGTTGTCAATGTGGAAAACAAGTCTGGAATTGGCAAAGTGGCTCTGCCATAATATAATAGCAACCACGACGGGGAAAAGTTCCAGGAAAGTCATGTCCCTAGTAATACCTTGTTCAACCCAAAGGCTTGGCCAGACCCCATAAGCCCATTTCCCCCTAAAGTAAATACCAAACCCTCCATTAGTTCCCCCTGAGCTATCTGTGAAAAGTTGAATTGTGTCATTGTGAATCCAGGGCTGGGTAAATATAACCGATATACCATTGTAAGATTGCAAAAAAGTTTTCCATACTGTGAGGTCAGCTTTTATGTTCTTTGTTACCCTTATTCTGTGATGCTGTTTAGTAATACCTATTGTTGAATTTATAAGGCGGCGGCAGAACGCCCGGCCAGGGGCAATGACCTTGCACGCAAAGTTTAATAAGCCAATAAGTGACTGCATTTCTCTCAGGGAGACTTTCTTTGCCTTCAAAAAGTGTTCTAATACGCCATTAATCTGGTTTAATTTTTCTGAGGGGAGTTTCATGGTCATATTGACCGTGTCCAATTCTATTCCCAAGAATGTTAAGACTTGTGTAGGTTCGACTGTTTTGTCATGAGCAATTGGGACACCAATATCTGAACATATGTATTTAAAAACATTTAAGGCATTGTGGCAAGTGGATGTGCCTGGTGGGCCGCAGAAAAGGAAATCATCAAGGTAGTGAATTATCAGATCATTTTGGGAGTAGTTTTGAGTGAGCCAATGTAGGAATGATGCAAACCTGTCAAATAATGCACAGCTGATTGAAGAGCCAAAAGGTAACATTTTATCAAAATAGTATTTGTCCTGAAATCTGAAACCAAGCAGGTCAAAGTCACCTGGGGATACTGGGAGCAGTCTAAATGCTGATTTAATGTCCGTCTTAGCTAAATAGGCCCCTTTCCCCACCTTAGCTATCATTTCTGCTGCTTGATCTATATTGCTGTAATGTACTATACATGCTTCAGGGTCAATAAAATCATTAATTGACTTGTTTTCTGGGTAAGAGAGATGATGTATGAGTCGCATGTCACCATCTTTTTTAGGCACAAGGCTTAAGGGGGAGACCTGCAGGTTTGGAAATGGAGGGTGAACAAAAGGGCCTGCAACTCGTTTTAATGTTACTTCTTTTTGAATTTTACTTTCAGCTATTACTGTATTAGCCTTGAGGCTAGGGAGGTTACAAGATTCATGGGGGGGGCCTGGGGCCCAAATATTGGAGATTAAAACCATACTTAAAACTCTGGAATATGAATTCACAATCAGAGTATCCAACTAAATGTTTACATAAATTTTGTAACTTGATTGGTGTTGTGCCCAAAGAATATATTGAACCATTATTTTGAACACCTGGCACTTGGGTGGTTAGCTCCGCACTTGCTGCATGCATGTCTGTACTTGCACCTAGGGAAGAAAGGGCAACTTACTCCCTTGTTAAAATGATTACAATAAAATGCCGAAGTACGGTTTGAATTGCTTGGGTAAGAACTTTGACTTTGAGAAGAGGTACGATTATACGTTTGAGTAGTTTCATGCTTGTTAGATATGTACAAAAGCCAAAATTCCTGATTAATTTGACCCCATGACAGCTGGGGTTGGTTGGCCATTTTTAAACGAAACTGCTCGTCATATTTAAACCAATTATTTGACCTAGTAGCAGCCATTCTGATATCTCTGAGATACTTGAGTAGTTCTTGAGCCCGTTTTGGAAATTTCTCTAACATTACGCTTGTAAATATAATAAAAGCCGATGTCCACTTATCGATTGTAAGAAAAGTGTTTCTTTTTGGTTTCACAATGCATAGCCGCCCTTCTTTAATTTTTATGTCCCCTTGTGATTCATAATCTTGTAATTCACAAGCTGTTTTAGTAAGCAGTGAGAGATCGATAAATTTGCCCTCCCATATTTGGTTTTTAATCTTCTGAGGGACGTGTGAACCTACGGAATCATAACAACTGATTTCTTGTAGTGGCTGACTTGAAAAATTTAAATTTGACTCACCGCTTCCACTGGGGATTTCAGGGATGCTTTGATCTATTTGTGATGTCAGCGTAGGTTGTATAGTATCGGATGGCAGAGGAAGAGCTTCTGGGGGAATTCCACCGGCGTCTGTTGCCTCGGCCGGGGCCTGGCGTGTTGGCGTGAGATTTGTCCTGGGCCTAGTGCTTTGACTGCACCGGTGCCCTCTGCCTCTCGATGGGGTGCCCATGGTCTCCCTCCGCTTCCTGGACGCTCTCTTGGTCACTCTCGTTCTAACTGGCGGCATGATTTCGATTCTAGTAACGTGATGGCTTTTGATTGCTTTGGTGTTGAAAAAAGCGTCTGATTTCAACAATTTGCTGGTTTGAAAAGGGAGATAACTTCCGGTGCATCTTTGTAATTAATTCGTACACAGTTTGACTCGTAATACGACTTTGTATATTCCTGATGTAATAACTTGTGTACACTTCGTCCCAAATAACCAAACATTAAAGCCCTGTCCTAAATTAATAATTTACTATTTGATATAAAATCAAATAATCTTGAATAATTTTAGGCAGTATCCAGGTTCTTGTTCATAATGTGTTGACTTTTAAAGTCTTAATCATTCAAAAAGGTGTAAAACTAGGGTTTCTAGTGCTTTGAAATTTCGTGCTAAACTATTAAAAATTGTTGTTTTTTCAGGCCTTCTTTGCGGTTGTCGACAATGTTTTGTCAAAAAACAATTCCAAATCTTGGACTGCTGTGAGTGACAAGGTAATGAAGAAGATCTATTTTCTCTTATTTTAAAATTAATAAATCAAATTCTCAATTTTTTTGTAACTAAAGTAGTATAATATACGGTAAAAGCTGCCATAAAAATGAAACAAATCTTATGGAAAGGAGACATTACTGTTCAAACTAGCATTATATTTTTTAAATATCAGCTAAATTGTATTTTTAATCTAAAATCCTTACAGACTGAAAAGGATGCTAGCTCCCTTTTAAAGAATATGGATCGAATGAGTGAAGTTGTTTTGAAGAAGGAAAACATAACAACATCAAAATTCAAAGGGAAAAATTTTGGTAATTTTTAAGCAATTATATTAGTAAATTCTATCGACAAAAATATATATGTTTGTTTATATGATTACATGATATGATTTTAATGTCTTCTTTTAGAGGTTTCTGTTGATAAAACAAAGGTAGATGAAAAAGGAATCGTCTTCCCTGAAAAAACCGAGAAAACACCAAATGATACCTCTATTGATACGGAAGAATATTCTACATTTCTTGAATTACCAAAGCAAACAAATAAAATTGAAAAACGTAAGTCAATAAAGTTCTTTTGTTTTTTTTTAAGTTCATTAAACACATAAATGATTCTACTCTATGAGAATAATGAATATCTGTTATACTGCCTTTCCTCTCAATTAAACTTAGTAATTCATATAACGTGATTTTTTAAAACACATTTATAAATGATAGATATAATGAAACTCAATAAATAATATTTCGTATATCTCCTTGCAGCAATTACATATGTGGCTGTTATATACAAGACGATATCAGACATTTTACCCACAGATTCAGGTTCACAAACGTAAATATGGCGATTCATTTCTTCTTTGACATATTGAAAATCTTAAGTTTTTCTTCACTTTTATGGGTTGTTGCCTTCAAAGTACAGATATACAATAAACATAAACCTTGTAAATTACTTTGTTGCAATTCAAAATTGTCTATTCTACAATTCATGGGACAAACCCATCGGTTTTGCCTTTCCTGGAAATAAAATCACTACCACGGAGGAAAATGCATATATACATGTAATACGAAATCACAATTTGTAGAGGGTCTCACATATCAAAGAAATATCTTAAAAATATAATCTTTTTAGCTCACCTGAGCCGAAAGCTCAAGTAAGCTTTTCTGATCAAAATTTGTCCGTTGTCTGTTGTCGTCGTCGTCGTAAACTTTTCACATTTTCATCTTCTTCTCAAGAACCATTGGGCCAATTTCACCCAAATTTGCCACAAATTGTCCTTGGGTGAAGGGGATTCAAGTTTGTTCAAATGAAGGGCCATGCCCTTTTCCAAGGGGAGATAATCTTAAAATTAAACAAAAATTAATGGCATTTTAAAAAAATCTTCTTCTCAAGAACCACTGGGCCAGGAAAGAATGAAACTCATGTGGATTCATCCTCAGGTAGTGTAGATTCAAGTTTGTTTAAATCATGACCCCCGGGGGTAGGGTGGGGCCAAAATGGCCGATCAAATTTTTACATAGGAATATATAGGAAAAATCGTTAAAAATCTTCTTCTCAAGAACCAATGGGCCAGGAAAGATGAAACTCATGTGGGATCATCCTCAGGCAGTGTAGGTTCAAGTTTGTTCAAATCATGACCCCCGGGGGGTAGGGTGGGGCCAAAAAGGCCGATCAAAGTTTTACATAGGAATATGTAGGAAAAATCTTCTTCTCAAGAACCATTGAGACAGGAAAGATGAAACTCCTGTGGAATCATCCCCAGGTAGTGTAAATTCAATTTTGTTCAAATCATGACACCCGTGGGTAGGGTGGGGCCAAATGGCCGATAAAAGTTTTACATAGAAATATTTTGGGAAACCTTTTAAAATCTTCTTTTCAAGTACTTCAAAGCCATGCTTAGTGATATTTATAGGGATTCAAGCCCCCCCCCCCCCCCTCAGTAAACTTTCAGATCTGATATGTGCTTTTTCCTAGCCAATTGCTCAGGTGAGCGATGTGGCCCCTGGGCCTCTTGTAATAGAGAACCAATAATATTTTGAAAACTAGGTAAGGGAGGTCATACTTGGCATACCGCTGATAGTTATGTCCTTCTTATGTGCCACAGCTGTATGCGTTAGGTCAATGTCACCTAACTAAAAAGTTATATGTCCTCTTGACAAATGTACTGAACGAGTATATAAATTGGCGTTTTCAAAATTTAACACAATCGCTGTGTATAGACTGTATAGAATTAGTGCTACACAAATCCGTGCTGTACATAGAATAAATGATTTCTTAACGATATTCGTAAATAAAGCTCATTCTTAAAGCCGCTAACACATGAAGCCATCTTTTAAAAGTATAAATACAGTATTTAAGTTGGTGACATTGGTTGATTTATTCATACTCTGCACAACCATTCCTCTCAACATGATATGTTACAACCTTTATCTGTTTATGTCATGTCCATTCAAGCTATATATGGTAATAAATATGCATCAAGGCTTCTAGGAATTCTTTAAAATCTTTCAAAAGATTTTATCGAATTGAGTCTTTTTTTTTGGTTTTCAAGGGTATTAGTTTAGGTTTAGACATCTCTAGTTTACTGAAAGTATCATTTGGAAAACAATTTTGTAGCTTATATTAAGTAAAATCTTTTAAAAGATTTTATCGAATTGAGTTTTTTTTAGTTTTCAAGGGTACTAGTTTAAGTTTAGACATCTCTAGTTTACTGAAAGTATCATTTCGAAAACTACTTTGTAGCTTATATTAAGTATGAATACTTTTAACCAGGAAAGCAAAAATGATGTTCTGTAATTTTACAATTTCAGAGAAGAAAATTCAAACGCAGTGACGGAAGGAAAAGAGAAGAAAAAGAAAGAATTCGTTAATTCTGAAATCCTGTCGCTTACTACTCAGACAAATCTGGGTATTCTATCCCCTCCTCTAAATCTGGCTTTCCAGCACAAACACGAGGTAAGATTTCACTCGTCTCATATGAAATGTATGGAGAATTCCGTATTTTCGTTAAGTAGTGCAAGATAACAGTGATATTCAATTTTTTGTGTTAACAATTAACTTTGTTATGCATTCATTTTCATATCACAGTATTTAAACTATACAAGCATTTTTGAGCCTGTCATGGTCGAAAGATAACAGAATCGGTTTTCTTTATTAAGATAAATTGATATGACTTCCTGTGAAGTTGTCTTGCTAAGAATTCATAAAACTCTACTGTTTCAATCAGTCTTTGAATTTATAGGGAATTCTGCAATAAAATTTACTTTTTTTTCAGTGACATTGACCTTGGATGCTTTATTTTTATTTGATAATAATTTCTAAAATTTTATGGAATCCTTTTATGACTTTTGTGCTTATAGGCGTGTAAATCATATAGATGTTTATTTCAAGTGTGACCTGTCATTGGTTTCTACCATCGAAAGTATAGCTTAGCCGATGATATAATAATATTTTATTCAAAGTGACCCACCACTGTCTTGATCAAAAAATATCCTCATACAGAAAAACTGCTTATTGTGTAGGCTATAGGCAAATTAAATTATCACTTGAATAATTTTTAAAACTAAAATATATTTAAAAATAAATTTTTACCGAACTCTGTCTCTATTTACGGAAATATGGCTGGATTTCTACTGTAATTGTCATATCTAAATACTTTGGTTCGATCTGCATGAAAAGAATAATTGATTTTCAGATTAATCTTTCAGAATATAGAAGAGTTTTTTAAATAAGAAATGTATTTCTACTGTATTTTGGAATATCTGTCCTAGAACGAAAGTGCTGACCTTCAAGCAATTTGTGTGTCGTGGGACTTCATCACAAAGTAAGCTTTGATTTTTTTAACTTCAAAAGACAAACGTGTGTGGTAATTTTTAGATTGTTTTCTACCCAAGGAAAATTAATGTAAAAAATAAGTTTTTTCCCAATAAATATTTTAGATATAGTTTTGCTTTTCTGTTTGTCTTTGCAAAACAAGAGAGATGTCCGTAAAGTTTGTGGACAACATTTATAATTACTGACAAGCATTCATAAAATATATAAAACTATTTTTTTAAAAATAATTTTATGTTTCATTATATTAATATGCAAGTTATGATCTAAGCCGATTAGATTTATTTTAAAAAAGTAAATGGTCAGAAGAAGGATGCAAAGTTAACTCCACCAATAACAAGAGGACAGTTTGTCAGTGTAACCATCTGACTAATTTTGCCATTCTGATGAGACCTTACACTCCTGTAAGTAAATAAATACTTTGATTTATTTAAAAACTACTTGCAAGTCTAGGTAAAGCCATACAAAGTTTTTAAAGCTAGCTTTCGAAATTTCATAAAACTATGTGGGAAAATCAAATGTGTGTATTTATTGCTATAATTAACATTCTGAATTCATCGACTTATCCTGTATTATGTTTATAAGGCATACATGTACCCTACATATCCTTGTCTTTTTGCATACATGTGCATAACATTACAAAACAGAGGCATCTTTTCTATAATCCAAATTCATTTTTCGAAAGATTAGATCTTAACATTTATCAAGATTGTTGATGCCTTTATATCTTAATTTATTTGTCAAATGATTGGCATTGTTTTTAAAGTGTTTTACGTATATCAAGTATCATTTGAGAATGTGGGGCATAAATTCCAAGTCCAGATACAAATTTCACATGTTTTGCATATATTGAGGTTTTACTGACAATAGGCAGTCAGGACCAATTAACAACTTCATTGTCTAGTGAATCTTAAGTTCTATTGTCGTTAGCAAATATAAAAGCTACCGTGAAGATTTACTTTACATACTACATAATTTTTTTATCTGATTGGTGCATGATGTTCGCAAGAAATGTTACAAGTTTACAAAATTCGACCCCCCCCCCCTTTAGATTCGAACTCCAGGGAATTGTTTATCGAAAACCTTTTTTTTTGTTTCCTTTAATGAAAAGAAATGAAATTAATCTAACGTTTTCAAATGTAATAAAATTATTTTATAATAGTTTTATCATTAACCTAGTTGATTACACTTGAGAATGAAGAGATCAATCATTTAATTCACAGTAAATTAAACAAATGTTATATTAGTTCAGTAAGTGCATAGTCAGTTTCGGAAGATTGGATCTAAATTTTATATTGATACCAATACTCCATGGACAAAAGATTGGATGTTAGATTTCCTCGGTAACTTGCGCATTTCAGAATACTGAGTAACATGTATATGTTAGCAATTCAACCAGTTGAAGATTTACAAAAAGGTAACATATGTCGATTGAGTTCTGTTGTGAAAAAAATATTATTGTGTTCTAAATGTACTTTTCATCTTTTTCTAATTTTCAACTATTATTTTGTAGGAGACAGAAGACGGAGCATCACTGAAGACGTTATCTCTCGTTGGTGTTGTTATCTCCATTGCTTTCACAGTCTTAACGTTTATGCTGTTTGTTCTGACTTGGAAGTATGTATTTTATGTGATTTTGTTTAAACACCTCAAGTTTAATTTGAAATCTGATTTCAAAGAAAAACTAAACTGATGAGTATTTTGAATAAGTAACTGCCGTTGATTTTCAGACAAGTAAAGAGTGATCAAAATATTATGCTGCTTAATCTTTGTGGATCGCTTGTCGTATCCTACATTGTCTTCATCGTAGCTGTAGAAAAGACCGAAAATGAGGTGAACACAGCTTTTTAGTCATAAATGTCTTATCTATTATTTAAAATAACCTTACTGGTTGAAAGAAGGGTTACGTTACAAAATATGCATCATGTTAGATTGTCCATTTCCTGTCTGTGCATCATTTCCGGTAATATATCGAAAAAGATGCGGTCCGAAATAAGAACATATATGAATAGCGGTATGTGATTAAATGTCACATATTTGTCATGTTACAGGGTGTCTGTATTTTCATCACGGCTCTTATCCATTATCTTTTCTTGGTGACCTTTTTCTGTATGCTGAGTATGGGTATCTACTACTGCATGAGTATCACAGTGACATTCTACGCCATGTATGTAGCCAACAACTTCAAGTCCAAATCCAGAGTGCAGTGGTTCCTTTTGGGATCATGGGGTAAAGATATTTTAATTGTTTTTAGACTAGTTATGCTTCAGTGTGTATCGTTTAATTTTTGGTATTAAAACAGTTAGTGTAGGGCTGTAAGAAACAGTGTCATTATATATTTCAATATATAGTTCATAGTTATATAAATATGAAATATATTTTTTTTTAGGTATTCCACTAATCATTGCAGCAATTACTTTAGGAGCATTCTGGGGGAATGACTACCATCTCAAACACTAGTAGGTTTTACGCAAACTTCGAGAGCCAAGGAACAAATTATAAATTGATTATAAATTGATAAGTAATGAATCAGTTCCTATATAGTTTATATGTAAGTAGATTCCAAAAAGAATCTGATTGAGTGATGCCTAAAACCTAATGCCTACTACCTTTTAGAATGGGGTTTTGATAAACACATATATACACATACTTTATCTCTTTTAAAATAACGCACTTATAAATCATTACAGCTGCTGGCTCTCTATGGAAAGCGGTTCCCTATTTCTCTTCATTGTTCCAGTTTGTGTTATTGCCGTGGTAAGAATTATCATTTGAAGTAAAAATGTATAAATTGCTTTTAAGATGATCATTTACCAATGAGTAAGTGCAAACAATTTGTCTGTGGTAAGTTTGTAATCAAAATGAATTTTTAGATGAATATAATGATAATGGTGTCCCTGATTCGAGTGTTGTGTGCTTCCAGTGCCATGACAAAGTCTTCACTTCAGAAAAAGGCCGCGTACGTAGTTACATAAGTACATGTATCACAAGCATTTTCAAGAAAAGGATCTTTTAAGATATATTTATCAGACAATGCGTGAACTTAAGAACAAGCAATTATTTATATACTTTCCTTTACTTAATTTTTTTTAAGATAGTAAGAAAATAATCTTATATATGCTTTGTTATACCAATAGGTCTGGCTTGCGGTCTCTCGGTACCCTTTTACCTGTACTAGGTGTTACCTGGATATTTGGAGTCTTAGCTGTAAACGAAAGTGCTGAAATATTTCAGTATATTTTCATCATAGCCAACTCCTTACAGGTTTGTTGTGTTTACTTCTTAGAAAATCACCTTTTGTGTTATAAAAAAATATTGCTGAAAAGTTAACTGATTGAATGTGATTTTCAATCATCAATATGTTTTTCTTAAGAATTAAAACAAGGCGTTTCGTCTAAGATTGAGCAAAAAAGTAATCTGTTAAACGAAAAATACTGAAAAAAAAAATATTTTTCAGGGCTTTTGTATATTCATTTCACACGTGCTAATGAACAAAAAGGTGAGAATCAACATTTAAATACTACTTTATTGAAAGCCATTTCGAAAACTATACTTGAGAAGAAAATTCGAATTCACTTGACTTGTAAATAATATATATATCATTGAAACAATAGCACTCAGATTATCTGACCACTACTTTATGTTAAACTTTTAGCTGATGATGGGTATAAAGACAAAGTACCCATCTCTGAGTGGACTGAGTATGTTCACAGAATCCAGTAAAAAGGAAACTTCTTCTGTATCTAGATCACATTCATCAAGGTCGGAGACTCCATTGGTGAAACCCAAGGTAAAAGTACTAAAATCCATGTTCGTTTTGTCTTAAATCTATAATACAAAACTGAAATCAACATTTTGTTTTTATTTTCAAGGAAAAAAAATGTTTACTTGCTCTCCCGATTCAGGGTAAAAACATTGCTTCTGTAAATAGATGGCAAAATATTTTTCCGGAAATATTCGACATATTTATTGAGGGGATAAAAGAAATAATAAGTAGGAAAAAATCGGGTCCTGTAATGTAAAAAAAAATGTAGTCGGGCTACTTTTAGCCAGTCGATCGGGAGAGGGTATATAAACAATCTTCTAGAGATTACCTGGTATTTAGATTTTTATTTTTCCATTGCTGCTTCAATGTATGAATGTCTTCTTTCAGAAAAAGAGGAGTCTGCCGATACTTGGGAGTTTTCTGAACAAAAAGTCCATGAAGAACAATAAAGTCATGAAATCTAACTCTTTTATGACGGAGAAGACGGTATCTACTGACTGTCCCTGTAGTGAAACCCAGGAAAATGTAAGATTTACTTTCTTTATCATTATGTAAATAATGTCTTAGAACATGCATGTGTACTAATGTGTACTGACTTTTTCAGAGTTTAGCAATGACAGAAAATGCACCAAAAGAAGACGAAAGCTCAAAGATGATTTTCAAAGAAGTAAAAACGGTGATATTTCTTTTTAGAATAGAATATTTTCTTAATTTACGTTTAGATCAACGTACATGCATGAAAGTTCTTTGTAAAATTTCTTAAAGTTTCAAGTGCAACAAAATGTAAATTTACATGCAATTACCTGGACATATCGTCAAAAAATTAGAATTTAGGGATTTTATCATCGATCGGCTTCTTAACGTTTTGAATTTGCAAAGGAAAACTATCCCGAAATATAAGGAACATCTGAGATTCACAAATATTTTAAGATATTTTAAACAATAGAATACAGTGCATTTTATGTAATGCATTGTATTCCTGAAAGAGAACAATAACAAAAAATTACATAGAAAATATATATTTCAAGTCTCCACAATATTGTCATGGAACGTTATATGTATTATCCACTTGATATAATACTTTTTCCCCCAGAAGTTTGATTGCAAAAAGGTTTTTAAATGAAAAATAGACATAATCAAGTATACATTTAAAGAAATCCGAAATTAGTATTTCATTTCTACGTTGGTTTGAAATACTCTTGAACCCAAATGGTAGAGGGTACATGTACCTCGGAGTCTGAAACGTGTGTTTTATATTTGGATATTTTATTTAAAATCGTTGACGGTATCTTTATGATAAACGCGATGACATATATATGTATATTGTCAATGTCCTTTACGTATGAAGCAATGTACTATTTCATCCTAGATTTGGCGTTTATCTCTCAGTTAATTCGATTTATTAGAGTATGGTATAAAGACAACAATTTCTGAAACGAATTCGAAAAGCTATGAACAAATTAGCTGACGAAATAAGGATAATGACATTCTTGGGTTAATTGAAGTAATGGTTATAAGCCGAAAACTGTCCATTATGTCAGATATTAGACGACCCGAGGCGCGTTAGCGCCGAGGAGAGTCTAATATCTGACATAATGGTCAGTTTGAGGCTTATAACTTACTTAAAACATTTCACCATTGTCGAACACTTCCATTGTTAACTTATTGGACAGCCACAGGTAAGGTCTCGTTCTGCTCGGATGACTACCTGGCACTGTTCATCAAGTTAGGCCAAAGAAAACCAGTTTGGGTTTTTCTTGTGTCTTTATTAATAGTAGGAATCATCGAGAGGTGTTTTATATCGATAAATATGAACATTAACTTTGTTTTGTCTTATTTATCCGCATTGCGACATTTTTTATATACACTACGCATGCGTGAAAGTCAGTTCTACAAAGTTCTTTACAATTTATTCATTTTACAACGCAACGACCACGGATGAAGACGTACATTTTAATTTCGAAACAAACAACCTTCAGAATCGGGTGTTTTGACGATGCCATTTATCGATTACACCAAGATGCCTCAGTTCAGGTTTTTACTGTGAAATCCGGATATATATTCTTATGTTTCGGAATTTGCAAGAAACAGTTCCCGTTAAAAGGTAATTTTTGTAAAGCAATAGGATTTGAAGGATTTTACTCAAACAACTGTTTATTACAGCATTTTCTATGAAATTGGGAGATTATTCCTGATTTATTTTTTTTTAATGCAATTCTCTTTTGTGAGCAGGTTTCGAACTCGGAAGGATTTTACTCCAGCCACTCCTTAAAACGACAGATACTCGCTTAAACGACGCAGGACTAGGTGGACAAATGGTCATAAATCACCGAACGAAATTACAGATTCTGTTGGAATTTCGTGAGCTAAATTTTGTGCTAAATGCAGAAAAATGGATGTTTCAATAAACAAAAAGCCCAAGGTTATGTGTAAGAAAACACATGCTTCTCATTCATCTTTTGTGTTCATTGGATTCTATACATGTTCCGTGGATCAATCATTGTGAAATGAACGGTGAACATAGGAAATTCATGATCGGAGCCACGGATACGTTTACAATTATAATGAATCAGAGACATTCAATTCACTGGATTATTTGTGCCATTTGAGTAGATTTTTTGTGAAATATTAACATTTAACGCTACTAATTTCCTACATTGTTCATATTAAATTGTTTGATTTGTCATTGCCTTTACGTGGTGTTTACTTATTTGCCTCGCCCTTTGTTTTCATTTAAACGTTACCTGTACCAGTCCAATAAGTTGAATCTTATTGGACACCTACAGGTAACTTATTGGACGGGGTGCAGGACAATAACAAATTTATTGAACCAGGTTTAACAAAAGATGACGTCACAAAAATGTTTTAAATATAGATATGTCAATAACACGGAAATATATTCTTGCATTATCTTGAATGTTAACTGATATTTTCATACAAACTCTCAGCTAATTATTTTACATTGAGCTTTGTTGTAAAATTTTCATTTGACAGAGTTTATAATTTATTCCACGTGTACGTATGAAATAGACTTCATTTTGTTGTCCCCCGCTTGAAAAGTGGGGGATATTATTTGGGTTTGTTCGTCCGTCTGTCCGTCCGTCCGTCCTTCTTTCTGTCTGTCTGTAACGCTTTCGTTTCCACACGATATCCCGAGAACCCTTTGAGCTTTTGCAATGAAATTTAGCATAGCAACTCCCTATGGACTAAAGAAGACCCCTATTGATTTTGAGGTCAAAAGGTCAAGGTCATAAATAAGCAAATTCTGTCTGTTATAACACTTTCGTTTTCACACGATATCTCTAGAACCATCTGAGCTATCGCAATGAAATTTTACATTTGGCCTAATGAAGACCCCTATTGATTTTGAGGTCAAAAGGTCAAAGTTCAAGGACGTAAATTTATACATTCTGTCTTTGTGTAACACTATCATTTCCGGGCGATATTTCAAGAAGATTTTGAGCTTATGCAATATAATTTTATACCAAAACTCCCTTGGACCTCTCTCACCCCTCTCAAAGTGCCCCGCCCCGTTTGTTTTATTTGTATTTATAGTATTACATGTCGCAATTTTTAGCACAGGGGCATGAGGAGAGTTATTGCGTATAAAACAGGTTTTCGGCGGACTTTATGTTCTTATTACATCGATTAGAACTGTTTAATATAGGCTAAATAAATCAAACACCATGGATTGTGTAAAAGTTTGAGAATACCGAACATGAATATATACATGTAACTATGTAACTTTAGTTCTGCATATACTTGACTCTATGTAAAGCGATTCCGTGGTCTAGTGGTATGTCTCTCGCTTCACATGTGAGAGGTCCCGGGATGGAATCTCGGTCGATCCTTTTTTTATTATTTTTTTAAAAATACTTTTCTTTTTTTTTTTACTAAATGATAGTATTCAGCATGTGAAATGAAAAATTTATGAGGTTATAAAATCATCATTACAGTGTGATAAATATTCCATATAAAAAGAATCTTCTATACACATAATAAAGAATAAGCAATCAAATCTTTATATGCATATTGACATACATGTATTTTATTTGCTTCAGTATACATATATACTTTTATTAAAACATTTTTGTGACGTCATCTTTTGTTAAACCTGGTTCAATAAATTTGTTATTGTCCTGCACCCCGTCCAATAAGTTACCTGTAGGTGTCCAATAAGATTCAACTTATTGGACAGGTACAGGTAACGTTAAAATGAAAACAAAGGGCGAGGCAAATAAGTAAACACCACGTAAAGGCAATGACAAATCAAACAATTTAATATGAACAATGTAGGAAATTAGTAGCGTTAAATGTTAATATTTCACAAAAAATCTACTCAAAATGGCACAAATAATCCAGTGAATTGAATGTCTCTGATTCATTATAATTGTAAACGTATCCGTGGCTCCAATCATGAATTTCCTATGTTCACCGTTCATTTCACAATGATTGATCCACGGAACATGTATAGAATCCAATGAACACAAAAGATGAATGAGAAGCATGTGTTTTCTTACACATAACCTTGGGCTTTTTGTTTATTGAAACATCCATTTTTCTGCATTTAGCACAAAATTTAGCTCACGAAATTCCAACAGAATCTGTAATTTCGTTCGGTGATTTATGACCATTTGTCCACCTAGTCCTGCGTCGTTTAAGCGAGAATCTGTCGTTTTAAGGAGTGGCTGGAGTAAAATCCTTCCGAGTTCGAAACCTGCTCACAAAAGAGAATTGCATTTAAAAAAAATAAATCAGGAATAATCTCCCAATTTCATAGAAAATGCTGTAATAAACAGTTGTTTGAGTAAAATCCTTCAAATCCTATTGCTTTACAAAAATTACCTTTTAACGGGAACTGTTTCTTGCAATTTCGGAACATAAGAATATATATCCGGATTTCACAGTAAAAACTTGAACTGAGGCATCTTGGTGTAATCGATAGATGGCATCGTCAAAACACCCAATTTTGAAGGTCTTTTTTTTCGAAATTAAAATGTACGTCTTCATCCGTGGTCGTTGCGTTGTAAAATGAATAAATTGTAAAGAACTTTGTAGAACTGACTTTCACGCATGCGTAGTGTATATAAAAAATGTCGCAATGCGGATAAATAAGACAAAACAAAGTTAATGTTCATATTTATCGATATAAAACACCTCTCGATGATTCCTACTATTAATAAAGACACAAGAAAAACCCAAACTGGTTTTCTTTGGCCTAACTTGATGAACAGTGCCAGGTAGTCATCCGAGCAGAACGAGACCTTACCTGTGGCTGTCCAATAAGTTAACAATGGAAGTGTTCGACAATGGTGAAATGTTTTAAGTAAGTTATAAGCCTCAAACTGACCATTATGTCAGATATTAGACTCTCCTCGGCGCTAACGCGCCTCGGGTCGTCTAATATCTGACATAATGGACAGTTTTCGGCTTATAACCATTACATAATTCTACAGATTCAGTCAGGGGGATCCGACTTTTTCCCTAAGCGGGGGAAACGAATTCTCTGAATTAGCTTGTTTATTTTCCCTATGTTTAAGTCATTTATAGTCATCTGCCTTTGTTGAAAAAATATGTACATGTATCAGTTTGTTTCTGCTTATAACCTATTTTATTCCTCATACATTTTAAATGATTCATGCATGTTTTACTCGTAATTTATGAAGATATTAATCTTTCTATATCTGCGACATTCAAATTACTCCCAATGTTTTCATTTCATATTGAATCACATCAGCCCTATTTCGATAGAATATTGATATTCCAAAAGTCCTTTGTGCAAATCAGTTTCTTTTATTTTGTTTCTTATAAGTAACAATGATGTTTTGGTTTTAAATCAGTTGTTCTCACATCGATCTTAAACCTGATTGGCTTAAATTTAAAATGGCTATAACTCCCTTGGTTTTCAACCAAACAGGATGGGATTCAGAACATAGATAGACATTACGGACTCCTACAAAAGGGTATGGTCATCATGCACATGCATGAACGTGCGCTGTGCTCTGATTGGCTGAAACAAAATTCTCAATGTCTTTATTGTTTTTTGACGAAATGCTTTGCAATTTAAATCATAGGCATGCTTTAGGATGTCCTACAATATGATATATAATAATTTTCATGAAATCACGCGCATGCACGTGCGCTGCAATCTGATTGACTGAAACTTTAAATGGCTATAATTTCCTTAGTTTTCAACCAAAAAGGATGGGATTCAGAACATAGATAGACATTATGAACTCCTACAAAAGAGTATGATCATCATGCACATGCATGCACGTGCGTGCACGTGAAATTAGTAAAATTATAAATACACTGGATTAAACATATTTTTAAATACTTTTGGATTAAATGCTGTAATATTGAGTATATTGAAATATATGAAAAATGTAGACAAGATCATATGGTCATTACGCACATGCATTCAAATGCGCATGCGTGCAATGCTGAAATTTGAATAAACTTGATATACTTCTGGGTAAATATTGTTAAAGTCTAAAATGCATCGTGTTTGTCTTATTTAATGAAGCTTACAAAGAATATGACATAAAAGGGAGTTGGGGAGCGTTTGGGGAACATCTGTAACGGTTCCCGTTACAATTAGCCGTAGTTTAGAATTGATATTATTTTCACTTTCTTTTGTTAAAACATGTGATAAAAATTATCAAAGTGGTTTACAAAGAATAAGAATATATTATTTAGTAATGTTGTTCTTGGTATAATATTTTTTCAATATGATTTTTTGAAATATTTCAAATTTTACTCGTTAGTCGGTATTGAAGCAGTAACTGTTATAAAGTGACTGATATTAGTATGGTTTGTCTATGTGTTATATTTAACATCCACATTATTTCTTACAGGAAAGAAAAGTACCACGAGTCCGTTTCAATTTCAACCTGAAGAAGAAAACCTACGTTTTGTCTGAAATGTAGACTTAGCTAGTGATTTATATTTTGATACAAAATAAGCGAAAAAATTCTTCATCAGATAATAAATGACCAACTTTATCATGAAATTGCCGAATGAAATTGAGGAAGAAAATTCCTATGGATTTTTACTGTGACTTAGAAGATATATACACCTTAATTAGGAATCATGATATAGATCATTTCCAATTATATGTCAAAAAATTAAGGGATACGATATATTGTGTGAAATGTTCAAGCGACATAAAAGTCGTTATGCTTTATTCAATATTAAAAATGTATCTATTTCCTGTTTAAGATCTTCTCAGTAGCAGTGTTTCCAATTATTTAGAATAACTCATGCATATGGTGCAGATATTCTAGGGGGGGGGGTACAAAACAGGAAGGACTTTGTTATATATGAGCATTCGATAAAAATGTGCATTTTTAATCTTTGCTTCAATTAACAGACGCTCATATTCAAATAAATTTAAAAAGTACAAATTTAATTTTTTGTCAAAATTCATTGAATATCATTTGACAGTACCCCTCCCCCTAATTGAAAATCAACATTTTTTTTTATATCTCACTCGCAGATATGTCACAGCCGTAATTTTCTCTCAGCATGAAGGTATTTAGCATTTATCCTTCTCATAGAAATATATTTTAACTCTCCCACAAGGCAGTCCTTATCAATTAGTTGGTCAAAAGTGCTACAGCAATCCGACATCCTCATGCCCTTCTATCCAGTTAGTGCCACAGTTGTTTGATTGAAGAAAAATATGGACTTTACGAAGGGCAGTCAAGTTGGTTGAAATGAATGATTGCGAGAAAGTCCTGATAAACTCTGTCTACACTAGACAGGACGTTTACATGCTAAAAAACTGGACTCACTATGCACGTGCGGCCGAGCAGTCCAAGACATTCTACTTATGTTACTATGCTTTTTAGCTCACCTGAGTCGAAGGCTCATATAAGCTTTTCTGATCAAAATTTGTCCGTTGTCTGTCGTTGTCATTGTAGTCGTTTTAGTCGTTGTTGTCGTCGTTGTCGTTAACTTTGCACATTTTCATCATCTTTTCAAGAACCACTGGGTCATTTTCAACCAAACTTGACACAAAGTATCCTTGGGTAAAGGGGATTCAAGTTTGTTCAAATGAAGGGCAAAGTCCTCTACCAAGGGGAGATAATTATGAATTAATGAAAAAATAATGCCATATTTTAAAAATATTCTTCTCTTGAACCACTGGGCCAGGAAAGATGAAACTCATGTGGAAGCATTCTCAGGTAGTGTAGATTCACACTGGAGGTAGGGCGGGGCCATAATGGCTAATCAAATTTTTACATAGAAATATATTGGAGAAACATTTAAAAATCTTATCCAGAAACACTGGGCCTAAAAAAATGAAACTCAGCTGAAAGCATCCTCAGGTAGTGCAGATTCAAATTTGTTCAAATCATGACCCCCGGGGGTAGGTCAAGGCCACAATGGCTGATCAAAGTTTTACATAGGAATAGATAGGATTTTTAAAAAAAAAAATCCTCTTCTCCAGAACTACTGGGCCAGGAAAGATGAAACTCATGTGGAATCATCCTCAGGTACCGAAAATTCAAGTTTGTTCAAATCATGACCCCCGGAGATAAGGTGGGGCCACAATGAAGTATCAAAGTTTAACATAGGAATACATAGGAAAAACCTTTAAAAATCTTCTCCAAAACCAATGGGCCAGGAACGATAAAACTCATGTGGAATCATCCTCAGGAAGCAAAGATTCAAGTTTGTTCAAATCGTGACCCCTGGTGGAAGGGTGGGGCCACAATGGGGTATCAAAGTTTAACATAGGAATACATGGGGGAAATCTTTAAAAATCTTCTTCTCCAGAACAGCAAAGCCATGATTGGTTTTTGCTTTTACCAAGGCAGTTGACCAGGTTAGCAATGTGGCCCTTAGGCCTCTTGTTTGTTTCTCCGGGGTATATTTCTTTTTCGCTTCGGATATGGGGTTTGATTTTGAAACACAACATTTAGCAAGTATCTCCTCCGTTTGTTTTTGTTTTGCATGGAATTAAGTCAGATAATTTTTCAGACAAGGAAGATATTGTGAAATAATTCCTTTTTCCACTTATACTGCGTGTACTTTTGTGATGTGACTCAATGTGCTTATAATACGTAAGAGTGGCCCTGAATAGTGATGTGATTCAATGTGCATATATTACATAAGAGTCATTTTGAATGATAGAAGAAATGAAGAGCATTCATTTTATTTAAGTGATTATTTGACAAGTGCTCGTTCCTTTTCATTAAAAAAAATATTTAAAAGCTGAAGTAATGCTGGAATCCATAATAAAGTGGATACATTTTTTCTTCGTAATTAATAGGAGTTTTGAAAAATGCCAGAAAACAGTGTTTAAAAATTAAAGACTGGTAAAACATACGTATAAGTATAATTCTAGATATTCTGCAAATCGTAAAATACAAATCAGTATCCAAGAAGAAAAAATAATAAGACGAGGAAGTTTTGTATTGTTGTTTATGGCGAATAACATGTTAGATGGTGGTGTTTTTCAAATTCATGACATTTATTCTTTATCATATATAGAAAAACGCAAAATTAACAAGTACATGAAACAGTTCTAAGAACAGCCTCGAAACTCCTAATATTCTACTGTGAAGACTTTCACATAAGGTACATATAATCCATTTCTTTTTCAGTGAATATATTTGCAGATAATTGTTAAAAGGTAAAGTTGTTTTAAAAATCCAAAAAAATGTATTTCACAAGAATTACTGACAGGAAAATAATTCTAATGCTCTACAATATCTCGATTTAGCCAAAATAAGTTAAGGTCTCTGATCAGGGGAGAGAGACTGTTGTTGCCACATGCGATTTGAATTAAAGCAAAAGCCAATATGGACAATGACATAGGGAGGAGAGAGAACAAAAAAAAAAAAAAAAAAAAAAAAAAAAAAAAAAAAAACAAGAAAAGTTTGATCTTTACAAAAAACAGAAAGGATCACTTGCTTTGGAAAGCATTCTATTTTTATAACTTAAAATATGTAATATAGGCCTAAACAAACTCGTGTTTCTACGTTCGAAATGCTAGTATACATGTAATATGGTTCACGTTAACTCTGCCGTCCCTGTTCATTATAATTTTACTGCTGCAACTGATTTCTCATTGATGACTAATCTAGGCCTTCCTAAATGTTTGATATTTTCAAATGAATCATTATTAAGTTTGAAATGCAATGCTTTATCCATTGATAAACTGTTTTGATAGATAGAACAGAGTTTCAATATAATGACACTAGTTCTTTGAAAATGTCCTTTCCTGTACTATTCAATAGATAACTATGAAATATTACATAATGTTCTAAATGTCCTTTCGGGACTCTCCTTCTGTCTTCATGGTAACATTGTCCAAAGAATGTGTCCAAAAAAGATGTTTTCGTTGAAAATCGCTTCTGACTTTGTGTCAAATGTAAAGTATGGAAGACAACAAACATTTGAAAAGATGTTCAAATTCAATCAAGAGTAAAATTAAAAATAGCACATTTTAGTGTCATTATTTCATAAATAGCCCTCGTCTGATTGCTTCACAATAAGTATGCAAAATGCCAGTCAGCGTTTGCATAAATGGTGGATTGTTTTTGCTGACAATTGTATCGACCATAGATCTTACGAAATGATAACATTAAATGAGACTGCTGATATTTTTGTTTCAGAAACTTGCTAAACCATGTCTCCAAAAACCATACAAAAATTGTCAATCAGAAACTCAGTCATCTTTCAAATATCAACTTTAGAGTTATTGTGTGTTTTTACTAGGGATGGCAATCAAATACAGAATCGCCAATCGGTTAACGCAAGACGTTCCGACCGATTAATCGGTTAATCAATTAAAAAATTCTCTACATATTCCATCGTTTTAAGCTCTTCTAAAATAAACAAGGCCAAGAAGATGTTACATTCAGAAATAATAAGTTCATATTTTAACAGAACACTGTTTATATTTTATTTCAATTTAAAGAAACAAAGAAAAATAAAAGGAACTCAAAAGAAGACAAGCAAGTCTCAGATACATTTTAAAAAAAAATCAGGAGATGTTACACAAGCTCATTCCTTATTGTCACAACAATCAAAATGAAGTCTAAACTCTCGCTTGATTTACAGTGTTTGTTTTTATAATATAACTTGACAGGTAATCATAACTGATAGAAAGGGGAATATACACATTGCAGTCAGTTTACACAGCTGATCAATCATTTAATTAAAATCATTAAAGAAACGCAGGACTGGCTGGCTAACGGCATGGTGTTTAAATAACAATTAACATCTTGAAAACTGACCAATTACATGTACCCCTAAAATGTCAATCCGGAGAGCCTTAATTATCTCCAAATTACCTTCAATTAAAAGTCAAAAATGAGAATATTTTAAATATTTTTATTTGTGGTTTTTCAATTGAAATTTTAGGGTAGTGTGTTCAAATTTACACAAATTTAATTTTTTCCGACTAACCAGTTACAGATTTTCTAATATAACCGATTACCATCGTTACCGCGTAACCGGTTAACCAATTAGAAATTGTCATCCCTAACTTTTACAAAATAATTTGGCAAATGACCAATGACGAGGAAGTAAATTTTCGAGTTTCATTTTTATTAAAAAATAATACAGCTGTTGATGATATCATAAAGCCTATACTTTAATTTATCTTGGAGAATAGTTGTCTGTAAAGTTGAATAGATGGAAGTTTTTATGTTGTTAACTGTAACAAAGTCTCGTGATATTTCCGAAGAAAGATATGGAGATAACGAACAGTATTCAATCTCAAAGTGCATAAAACAATACAAAATAGGAGCAGAGCAAACACGGACCTCCGAAACATCAGAGAGGGGATCAGGTGCCATGGAGGAGTGAGCATCCCCTGCTCACCGGTCACACCCGCCGTGTGCTCCTTGTCATGATCAGGAAATAACGGAAAAATGAAAAATCCATCGTCAATTCAGTGTATAAATAATGAACTAACAATTAGTATGAAAAACGTCAATCAGCATTTGACTCAATGATAAATTGTATTTGCTGACAAAGTCATTGTATCGACCATAGAACTTACAAAATGATGACTTTAAACGAGACTGCTGATATTCTTGTTTCATCAACTTGTTTGTCAATAATGTACCTCGTTTTAGAAATTGTTCATACATTGAACATGCTATTGCGTATCGAATCAACTGAGATATATAAACTCCGTATGCAGACGATGAATGTATGTTGCTTCATAAGTAAGGGAAGCTGACGATAGAAAAGTTAAAGTCATCACGTTAAATATGAAGCTTGGTGGTTAGATTACCATTAACGTCTTTTTCAAGTAAAATATCCAAGTATGAAACATGTGTCAGACTCTGTGGTATCTTTTATCTCAAGCTCTCTAGGATATATCGTATCGACGTAGGAATGGAAATTACCATTTTTAATTGACTGTATGTCGTCGATATATATATATATATCTAAATATCGAATTGAAGGCCACAGCAAGTGTTTTCTTCTTTTAATGCATAAGATTTCGCACAAATTCTGCTTCATATGAATATAAAAAAAATCAACAAAAATGTTTTGTTGAGATGTTCAAGTATGTATTCATATCTGATAAACTACTTCTCGAATATATTTTTGCAAATATATCTAATTCATGAAGCAAATATTCCTTAAATATTTGCATGGATTTGCATATCGAAAATTTGGTAAACGAAGAATAATTTTGAGAAAAAAAACCATAGCTCTAAAATTTATGTGAATTTTTCTAATTGGTTATGCTTAAATATTGCATTTTATCTATTCAATGTTTCTTACCGTGGTTATTAATGATTTTGAGATAGGTATATTAGCTATAGATGACTAGCATATTTACTGAATAAATTTCCAAACACTTCATTATACTGAATTATACAAAAAGGATATATTGAGCTTTTTTAAGCCAGATGTGTTATTATTCAGATAAGTATACTATTATGATATACTTTGTTAATTTTCCTTTTTACTTCTTCTAGGTTCAGGAAGGAAAATAATGTCCATTCATCATGAAATTACGGTTAACTGCTTTTACTGCTCCGTACATTCAAGATAAAATACGTAAGACGACAAACTGTCAATCCCTGTTGTGAAAAATAGTGGGGAAATATACATTTCGTTGATAATTTTCTTTATGTCTACTTTAAGATATGTATGAACAGTAAATAAAAATAAATAAGAGCCCATTCTCAATATTGAGTGAATTGTTCCTGAATAAGTTGTTCTTTTTGATGAGATATTAGAGTAACAGTATGCTTGTAGTTTATTTTTTTTGGAGATTCTAAATGATAGAAAATATTCATTTTTTGACATATTCCGAGACATAATTATTTTTAAGCATTTGAACATTTTAAATGGAAATCCTTTCAAGTTAAACATGTTAAAAATATTTTTGATTTACTCCCGTTTCTTATGAAATAACACTACTAAAGATTTGAAAATTTTCGTAACCATATACATGTAACCTTATTTTCTTTTAAAACTGACAAATTTCCCATTTCTTCTATTTTCAAAAAAACATTTCATTTCCGGAATAAACAATTTTATGGTAACTAAAAGTTGATGTTTTTTATGATAAAGTGGCTTTCGTTTAAGGTTACTACATTACGATAAAAATGACTTTACATTTCCCCAATTTTTATGTTGCCTTTTCGACAAGTCAAAAATTGCAAAAATCAATGAATCTGTATTCATGGTAACCGGATGTAAGCGTGTACAACTTTTAACACCTCTTTCGTTAGATTCTATCCTCGGCGCACCTGTGGTGTAAACGTTACTGAAATCATATCAAGGCGTAACATAGTAATTATTAAAACGTTTCTCTAAAGAGTTTTACGGAAGCCCATTTAGGACATATCAAAATTATATTTGAATTCGTTATAACGATTTTTAGAATTCGTTATAACGAATTTAATTTGTAATAACAGATTCATTGAATTCGTTATAACGAATTTAATTTGTTATAACAGATTTATTGAATTCGTTATAACGAATTTAATTTGTAATAACAGATTCATTGAATTCGTTATAACGAATTCAATTTGTTATAACAGATTTATTGAATTCGTTACAACGAATTTACTTTGTTATAACAGATTTATTGAATTCGTTATTACGAATTTAATCTTTTATTACAGATTTGTTGAATTCGTTATAACCAATTCAAAAATTCGTTAAAACAAATTCTTGAATTGGTTATAACGAATTCAATAAATCTGTAATAACAGATTTAATTCGTTATAACGAATTCAATGAATCTGTAATAACAAATTAAATTCGTTATAACGAATTCAATGAATCTGTTATAACAAATTAAATTCGTTATAACAAATTCAATAAATCTGTTACAATAAATTAAATTCGTTATAACTAATTCTAAAAATCAATATAACGAATTCAAAAATATTTTTGATAGGTCCTAAATGGGCTTCCGTAGCAGACATATGCCCACATAAATTCTATACATTATATAGCTATTTCACACCATAGAGCTTCCAGTCAGAAGATTGATTGTAAATTGTTTAACGCCCCTCTCAATAGTTTTTCATTCAAATGGAGACGTCACCGTATGCCGGTGAAGGGCCTCAAATGCGGATCTACACTCGGCACTCAGAGTCATTGAGAAGTGAGGGTTTTTTATCGTGCCAGCGCCTACCCTGACACGGGACCTACATTTTCAAGGTCATATCCAAAAGACCAGTGACTTTCATTTCTAGTGCGGAGCACTTGACGAAGGAACAGTCACTACCTATGTTTACGATTTAGGTGGCGCCGCGAACGAGAATCAAACCAGGGCCTTTCGATCACGAAGCGAACGCTTTACCACTAAGCTACTGTCACCGGTCCAGTCACAAGAAAAATAAAGCCTAAATATGTATAAAGAGTTAATTAATTCTAATTGTCCCACATCTGAGTTTTATTTTAATTTTATATGGTACATGAATGTTTTAAGTGCAGAATTACTTATCTACTTAAATGAGTTTTAAATGTCCTTTTTTAGTTTAAAGGAAATTAAGCCATGGAGAATGTACTTCCTATTCTGATCATTTTTCTGTATGGTAAGTTTATTGCCGATTGTTCATGTATGTCTTTGGGGTTTTGCCGATATTGTATCATTGTACAATCTCTATTTTGAAGAAGGATATGGAGATAACGAACAGTATTCAATATCAAAGTGCATAAAACAATACAAAATAGGAGTAGAGCAAACACGGACCTCCGAAACATCAAAGATGGGATCAGCTGCCATGGAGGAGTGAGCATCCTCTGCTGACCGGTCACACCCGCCGTGTGCTCCTTGTCATGATCAGGAAATAACGGAAAAATCCGTAGTCAATTCAGTGTATAAATAATGGACTAACAATGAGTATGAAAAACGTCAGTCAGCATTTAGAGTTATGAACGTTGATCTGAAAGTAATGTAAAATAATTTCGAAAAAACTTAAATTATCGGAAATTTTCAGCAAAACTTGATATAAAACTGCAATCTATATTAACTTTTGTCGTATAATTTTATTGGGATATATGCAATATTTTATAATTCATGTATATTAAAATAAAGCTAACTCTTGCTCTATTCTTCCGACTCACGGCATGAATATACCAACGTCAGTATGACGTTTTTCTTCGACACTCATTTTGTAAAGAAATAATTGGAGATAACAAAGAGTATTCATGATCAAAGTCCATTAAACAATACAAAATAGGAGCGGAGCAAACACGGACCTCCAAAACATCACAGGTTAAACTGAAGTTATATGTATATAATAAGTATATTTAAAAAACACAGAAAGGAATAAATTTAGAAAAAACAATTGCCTGGATAAAATTGAAATAATTCATTGTTACAACTCAAAACAAGACGGTTTATAAAAAAAAAAATGCATATATGTATATATTTAAAAAGATGCAATTGATTGGTTTAAGAGGTACGAGAACGGTAAAATGAGTGCCGAAAGTAACGTCAATTCGACAACGTTAACATTCTTCCGTTGCCTACAGATAAGACCTAGCGTTTTGTTCAGTATTTTATATAATGAAAGAGAATCTTTAAGGCAAATTTCAGATAAGGAGGGTATAAGTATGTCAATCTTTGTAATAACAATAGATCATTGATTTTGTAGAAGTTGTGACTTTTAGGTCAACCTTCGTTTTTCACTTTACGTTTTCTCATTGAGGGTTTTAGTATCCAATCAAAATTTTAGCTATAAAAAGTTGTCAACTGAACAGTAGATCAATTTGCAATATCTGAGTAGTCAGTTGTAATTAAAGAAGTTAAAATTGTTTTTATTCATTTGCATAACCATATTGTTGCAACAACCAGAAGCTATTTCACAATACCTATCCCGTTAATGTTACACTTTTTTGTGTAGAGGAAGTTAAAAATTGTTCAACTAACGTAGAAGTACAATATTTGTGAGACCCAAAGGTCAAGGTGAATATGAATCTTTGAGGTTTGCCAAATCATATTTTGACTGAAAAACAACATTTCATCTTTCTTACTTTTTGTCATTTGTGAAAGTCCTGCTTCCTTCTCAACAGCTTGTTTTCTTAAGTCAAACTTATCATTAGAAGTACTGTAAAACGAGAATATTTGGCGCTACACTAATTTTAGCGCCTTTGGCGCAAGAGCCCCTGAGCGCTAAATTTTATTGTGCGCTAAAGGATTTCTAAATATCATTTTTTGTGTGTGTTCAAAGCTTCTACATAAGTACATGTAAACCGGAACGCGCGATTACGTAATGCCGAAGGGTCATTGGATTTTATATACACATTAGCACTGCACATGTACGGAAGACAGAAAGTTCTGCCAAATTATAATTTAATTAAACTATTGTTACCCCGGTAGTTGTTACCGGATAATTATCATTAGCACCTTCAAAGTTTGGCTTCTCGGCATGTCAATCTATCGCCTCGAGGTAAACAATGCAATCAAGCATGGCGATTGAGCTTGCAGACAATACCTGATTAGGATTACCGTTTTGTCTAAGTAATTTTCTGTCGATGCATGCATTGTTTTAATGTGATTTAATGAGTTAATACTCCATTTCTTTTAAATGAAAATAGAAATAAAATAAATTTTAACATTGTACCACGTCCATGTGATAGCAACACGTACCGCGGTAAAGGTAACGAATGTTTACTGATATACGGGAGTACTAATGTGTTTCCGTGCTTGACTAACCAAAAAGTCAAATACGGGTGTGGATAAAAAAAAACAACAAAATATTACATTTATATATTTTACTGACAAGTGCGAGCGCTGAAATTTATTTGCGCCAATGTACTCCCACTTGCGTTTGCGCTAAAATATGTATGCGCCAAATTTTCTCGTTTTACAGTATTTAATACATTTAGCGATGTCGACAAGGTTTTGTGTCCGGTCCTTTTAATTGTTGTCCAATAACTCCAGCTTTTAAGTTTGACCTGATCGATGGTGATTATTGATAAAGCGGGATACCGCTCTACATACATGCAGATAGTTGATGCTGTTATTTTTAAAACTTCAGATATTCCCATTTGTTTCGAACCCCTGTTTATCAGTTTAAAAAATGTGAAACAAACAGAAACACTCTGAGCTTCTAGGGTGGCTGGTACCTCGCATACCAACCTCAGACACAATAGGGATTCCATCATTTTTCGGATACAGTCGTGTAATCTTATTTGAATTTCCCCCAATGTTATACTTTTGAAATTTGAATTACTTCGTGACATGTAGAACACAATATTTTTGCTCTCACGTCTCTCTACGTGTGACCAATTTCTAAAATTATTGACAAACAAGTTGATGAAACAAAAATATGAGCAGTCTCGTTTAAAGTCATCATTTCGTAAGTTCTTTGGTCGATACAATGACCTTGTCAGCAAATACAATTTATCATTGAGTCAAATGCTGACTGATGTTTTTCATACTAATTGTTAGTCCATTACTTATACACTGAATTGACGACGGATTTTTCCGTTATTTCCCTATCATGACAAGGAGCACAGGCCGGTTCTGACCAGCTGGCAGGGGATGTTCACTCCTCCATGGCACCTGATCCAACCTCTGATGATTCAGAGGTACGTGTTTGCTCTGCTCCTAATTTGTATTGTTTATGGACTTTAATATTGAATACTGTTCCTTTCTCCAAATCCTTCTCCAAGACTAATAACATGATGTTTAATTGAAAACCAATAAACCGAAAAGAAAGAGAATATACTAGTATATAACAGAATATTTTTTGAAAGATTTTTATGCAGAGCTTAATATGAAATGAGTTAAAAAGGCAGTTTCCGGTGGAGAAATGCTTTGATTTGACGAATTTTTCTCCATCAATCACATCTGAGGTTTGTATGGAGCGTAGCGCAGTCAGTCAAGCATTGCCTTATTGTAACGGAGATGAACGTGTGAACCACTAAAAAGCTGACAAAATACATCATAATAATATCATGTTATTTTATAAATAGATAGAATAAAAAGCTGACACAATTCCCCATTACGTTTTGAATATAAAACATTCATTACCAATAAGGAGAATTGAAATAGCGGAAATTTACTCACTTTTTAGATTCCTGAAGGAGGCTAGCAATGGCAACATAAGTTTTTTTTTATCAGAAATTTGAACATTGATGGTTGCTTTCATGTAAGTAGGTTAACGTTGGCAACAATAAGTTTAGTAGTTTAGTGTAATAACTTACGAAAATGTTTCGCTTTGTAGTATTGCTACCCTTTTTTTTTTAGTAAAGTACATTGTACTTAAAATTGAAAAAAAAGTTTTGTACATGCAAATCATAGCTACTTCCTGCTTTCAAAAACAACAATGATACATATTCAGACATTTTATCAGAAGCATAAGGCATCCAACAATTAAATATAAAATATATTATGATTTTATATTTTACAGTGTTAACAACACGTGCTTGTAAAGGGATTCAAGAAATAATTCTTCAGCCTTACATCGGGGAAAAAGTTGCATATCCAGAAAACTATCCAGTAGAAAAAGGATATGGAAAGTAAAAACAAAACAAGAATAATTGCAAAGAAATACTTTTACATTTTCACGCAATTTATACTTTGTTCATTAAATTCAATTGAATAAATTAAAATTTATAACTGAATTATTTTATCTGTATTATAAAAAATTAATGCTAGAAATATTGTTTTAGTAACTTGAACTGCTCCTGGAAAATCAGCACAATTACTGGATATGATATTGTGGTTTACCCGAGGTGGGCGTGCAAAGAAGACGCAGATTTTCGTCTTTATTACGGTACCTCATTTCAAAAATGACTAATTTGCTACTTTCTCACTGTCAAATGATAACAAAATTTTATGTTTACAGTGTTTTAAACACATCTAAAGAAAAACCTACTGCAAATAATACTTGGCCATCATAATTCATGCTTTAAGACAGAGTTACAAGATATATTCTAATGTAAAGTATGAAAAATTACAATGTAGTTGCATAACACAGACTTCTGCTTTAATATTACCACAATTTGATCGGAATTAATACCGTTTTCTTTGCCATATCAAAAGAAATTTCTAACTTTTTCTTATTGCCGTTTTAGGCTCAACAACGTTAACAGAGATAGATGGTTGTGTTGGATGCCCTAAAGCATATGGGTATTGTGGCGAAATCATACAAACTGGATCATCGGGAATTCTCTTGAATTTTAGAACGTCGGCGCCTTTTAAAGGTGGTGGCTTCCAGTTTCGCTTTATGTCTGTTGAAAAGAGGAAAAGTAAGCCCAATACATAAAACATTTATCCAATAGCAGAAACTTAATAGGACAATAATCTACATGTATCCTAATAAAGAATGTCTGGTTTACCAAAAAGAAATTCGACGATATTTCCACTGCGAATCAAGATTGTATTGCGTGTTTTATGTGCATGGAAGAAAATGTTTAACCTACAAATAATCACAATTTTAGACACATATTAATGTACTGTACGACATTTAAATAAATTTTCCCTTTGCAAACCTTCTAAGCTCTAACACTATATTGCTTAGATGACAAATGTGAATCAACTGAACAGCTAATCGCAGAATCAACTCCAAAATTCATCACATCTCCGGGGTTCCCATCTGCATATCCAAGGTACATGTATTTCAAAAATAAAATTTAAAAAAGGGGGAAAACTAAAGATTAAAGTCCTTAATGGATATTAAATGGTATTTTAATTTTCAGTCAAGTGCAATGCTCCTGGATTGTGGTATCTGATTTAAAGGAGAACTTCCGTTTAATTTTTGAGTTCCGGTCTCAATATCTAGAAGAAGGTTTCATTGGCTGCAATGATTACGTAAAGATTGATAGTGTGGGCGGTCAGTATCATTCAGTTTTCATGTTCAGTATTATATCGTTTGATGTCATTTTATAGATATATACATGTATATAAATTACCGATATGTTAAAGCGCTTTCCTTGAACATGTAGGAAACTGTTTCATAGTTTACATGCAACCCTCGATCTTCTGTGGTCCTATTGTATGATAAAAATATTTATGACCGGGGAGTGAGGGGCTCAAACATATAAATGGATACGAATGTAAAAGGTATAACTTTTATTCTGTATTGTTCCCATTAAGTAAAACCGTCCTCGTAAAAACTAGATAGGTAAAATAGCTTGCTTTAGTTTAACTTCGTTTGCTAAGAAAAAAGTAGGAAACGTGATAGGTGGTATAAATATTCATAAATATTTTGCAATAATAAATTTATACAAAGTGGTAATTATTGAAATATATATGATTTAGAATTTTGTGAATATAAGGAGGATACTATCTTACGGACATCCGACAGAATGATCTTAAATGACACTATAACGAAGGTGCAGTTCGTTAGTGATCACTGGTTCAGTGGGAGCGGTTTTGTTTTGGCTTTTTACGTCGAAGGTGAGTTGCTTTACATCATAATATACTTACTCTGAAGTTGACATTTAAAAGATGCGTGAATTTCTAATAAATAATATCTGTGTGGATTTGGAGGACCAGGTTTTCAAACAGTCTATTGGAATTCCCATAGGTACATATTGCGCGCCCAGTTTTGAGCAGACCTATTTTTGTATTCATATGAAGCAGAACTTGCCAAAGATCTTACAGGCGAATAGAAGTAAACACTTGCTGTGGCTTTCAACTGGACATTTAGGTATATCGACGACGTATTGTCAATTAACAATGGTTATTTCCATTCTTCTGTCGAGACAATATATCCCGATGAGTTTGAAATAGAAGATACTACGAAGTCTGACATTTCATACATGGATAATTTACTTGAAAAGAATGATCATAGTATCTTACAACCAAGCTTTATGACAAACGAGGTGACTTTAACTTTTCAATCCTCAACATCCCTTACTTATGCAGCAATATACCTTCATCCATTACATGCGAGGTTTATATCTCTCGGCTGAATCGATAGGCTAGAGTATGTTCTACGTAGCACCAATTTTTATAACGATGCAAGTTATTGACAAACAAGTTTTGCTGAAGCAAAATTATCGGTAGTCTCGATTAAATGCCATCATTTCGTATGTTCTATTGTCGAAACAACGACCTTGTCAGCAAATACAAGTTATGTCTTCAAATGCTAGGCAAGCTCACTGCAGCTTGTATTTTTGCTGAATTTGTACAAATCGAATGAAACACATTCATAGAGATTTTAAATTACATGTATGTAAATGTAAACAATTTATTATTGTTTGCAGCTAACTGTAAAGTTTCACGTTACCTCACGATCTAGTTGACAGCTGCGCTCAAGGTAATTGTACACGCCTCCTAACCGGAAGCTGGAACTTTCTTCTTATCCCTGATTAGTTGCTCGTGCAACAAACTACTTCCGTGTCAATATTGATAATTTGAGTTGACCAATCACGTGAATCGTTTACTCTGGATGCATCTGACGAAAAAGATCGATACTTTAAAACTTTACATTTACTAGTAACTGCAAACTATAATAACACACAGAAAGGGGATCTGGGGCCCGTTTTACAAAAGAACTTATGACTAAGACCAAAATCTTAGATTGTTGTAAAATTTTGCAAAGTTTATAATTTTCTTTGAAATTGGTTGTGTTAATATTTCATAACACTTTCTTTTTAAAATTTTTTAAATAAATTTCGATATAATCTTAATTAAAAAGTTATATGAAGAATTAAATTTGGCCTTAAGTCGTAAGCCCTATTGTAAAACGGGCCCCAGACTCACAAGCTCTGATTGTAAATTACGTAAAATTTGATAATGTCTGATCCATCGAAAAGGGAGTTGAAAAAAGTATATTTAAAACCAGAAAAAAAAACAAAATATCACAAGGAAAAGTTAGCAAAAAAAAAAAAAGGCACATCAAAACAAACTTGCCCACAAAATGTGATATGCATATCACAATAGTGTAAGATATGACATGCATATCTCATCCGTGCCACCCAAGTATCATTACGTAAAATGCTGACTGACGTTTTACATACTTATTGTTATTTACACACTGAACTGTCGACGGATTTTTCTTATATTTCCCAATCATGACAAGGAGCACACGGCTGGTGTGACCGGTTGGCAAGTAATGCTCACTCCTCCATGGCTCTTGATTAAACCTTTGATGTTTTGGAGGCCAGTGTTTGTTCTTCTCCTATTTTGTATTGTTTAATGGAGTTTAGAGCTGGAATTCTGTTCTTTATCTCATTAATTTCATTCCCTCCAAATGTCGACTCGATATATCCCAGTGACATCAAATAATTAAAAAAGACTACAGAGTCGGACATTTGGATAAACTTTACGACAAAAAGACAATCATGGAACAAGAAAACATTTTTGATAAATGTGATGACTTCAACTTATCATACTCAACTTCCAGTATTTATGTAGCAATATAGTGAATATACCCTTATTGTCTGCATGGTTTTTTTTTGCCTCCGAGTTGATTCGATACGCGACAGCTCGCTCTACGTACGATCGATTTTTAAAACTAGGCATACTGCATGTATCAAACAACATATTGATGAAACAAGGATATCAACATTCTTGTTTGAAGTCTTAATTCAACAAGTTCTATTGTCGATAAAATGACCCAGTCAGCAAAGAAAGTCTACCATTAGGTCAAATGTTGACTGAAGCTTTTTATACCAAGTGTTAAGCATTGATTTGTAAACGGAAATTTTCGTGGGTTTCTCCGTTTAGGCAATCATGACAATGATGTACGGAGGGTGTGACTGGTCGACAGGGGATGCTTTCTCCTCCATGACACTTTTTTGGAGGTCTGCGTTTTCTCCGTTTCGGATTCGCATTCTTAAATGGATAATGAGCTAGAATACGGTTAGCTATCTCCATATCTCAGTTGGGATATGCTTAATTTAAGCTTCCTATTTTATTTTTAGTTCTTCCCAGACTTCTGCTGCAGATGGAACCACGATATGATGTATCAATTCAAAGTGGCCAAATTATAAGTCTACAATGTACAATCATGAATCCCGAAGCACTTATTTATACAGCAGGTGGAGATCTAATCTGGCAGAAAGACGGGAAGAATATCGAAACAGGCATGGATAGAATTAATGTGAAATAAAGTGCATGCTTACAAAATATGTCCTCAACCATTAAGATTATTTCTTAAAAATGTACGAATGTCCTACCATCAACAATTACTTTTAATACAATTAGTTCTTCATAGTTACGTAATGTTTGTAGATTCGGACTTTTATATTACAACAACTAATCTATCCACCACATTGATGAAAAATTCAGTAGGAATTGATGATTCTGGAAATTATTTATGCTCACATTCCGATTATCCTGATACAGAAAACGATTCCATCAATGTTATAGTAACAAAACCAAGTGAGTCAATAATTTTCGTTTAGGATAAATATTCAATGATTGATAACATCAGTAATTAATAAATTCTTCGTCGTTGTCGAAGTAATATTATTCTTATATTCAAATCCCATCTCTCTAATCCAATCTACTTCCTCACTCAGGTCACACAAAACAAATTGAATGTCAACGCGAGATGTTTTCTAACATAACATGGAAAGCAATAATCGCAGGAACAACTGCACAAGAATCCTGTCCAGAAAAGCAGATAGGTATTAATTCAAATTTAAAAGTGTGAGCATATTACTTACACACAAATTCCTAACTGTAAACATAAATAAGGTTCGTACAAACAAACAAACAAACAAACAAACAATGCATTAGGGCTTTCTCCACTATTTTGTAAGTGATCCAACTATTTTCATAGTCATGAAAACAGTGATTACTTGCTCAATGCGTAAGGCAACATGTGAACTCAGCCTAGTCCTAGGTCCTGAACAATGACTATCACTTCTAAATGTTCAAAGATAACAAAGAACTCATAAGAAATATAATTCTCAATAAATGACTAATTTTTTCGGAAATAGTAGATCCCAGAGTAACCTAAGTGACTTTAAAAAGAAAACACACACAGAAAAAAATACTTATTTCCATTTTTTAGGAACAGCAACGAGATATTGTAACACTCGAGGTGTATGGGAAATGCCTAATCTGATAAACTGTACTAGTGAAGCATTTGTGGATGCTTCAAAAGAGGTATGTCTTTAGTTATGTACAATTAAAGAAAACGTGATAAGGATATCTAAATATGTGAGGGTTGATCTAAAAATAATGTTACTGTGCCAATATCTTTTATATTTGGCGTCTTATTATCAGATATGATATACCAAGAGATGCATGAAAATAAATCCAATCAAAATTCAGAATTTATTTTCATAATGTTTACTTCAATTAATTTCATAGACGTTTAAAATATTAAACATAAGGGGTGTCGCCGCGTCACAACTAAACGTCACGTTTTAAAGTGGAAATTGTTAGAATGAAAAAAAAAAAACACGTTAAAAAGCAACTGAAAAAGCGTTTAATCGCTCAGTATTTTAAAAGACAATTTTTAAGGATATTTTCTAGATTCACGTTGAAAATAGAATGACGCCATTGCTTTTTTATCATAAACATCGTTGTTTTAATCTGCTGTATTGAACATAGGAAATGTCGAAATGCAGAAAAACCACTGAAACGATCTGTCATGCGTATTTGCTTCAAAATAGGGAAATCGTCCTTAGAGGTATTTGCGATAGACACACAGAGGAGAGAATGTAAATAAGAGACTTGTTTATAGATGGTTTCAGCAGTTTTTAGCGGGTCATGGGCCACTGAATGATCAGCAGAGGACAGAAAGACCAAAAAATGGAGGTCGGTTGGAAACGTTCAATGGTGTCTGACGTTGTCAAAAATGAGAGACGGTTAGAGCTATATGAGAAACTTTAAGTTTGTCTTTTGGTACTGTTCAAAGAATCTTGACAGTGAACTAAATTATGTATAGAGTGAGTGTACAAGAGGTGCCAATAATACTTTAAAAGGAAAAATATATGTAAATGTGTTTGTGAATCTCAAATATTTTTTAATAAAACGAAGGGGAAGCGTTCAAGTGTATGACGGCGCGTATCCATCATATGTAGTCTCGTTTACCCCAGACTCTCGCTCTCGAGACTTTGCCCGAGCGAGAGTCTGGTCTGATTCCTATTTAATTTTTGTAACCAGTAGAGGTCGCTAAACCGGCTAACAAGATGGCGATTTCAATGAAAATACATATGAGAATTTACTTTTTAAACAAAGATATGTACGTTTTTTGTTCCTTGTAAAGCAGACAGAGGTATTTTATTATAAAACCTGGTAAAAGTAAAGGCGCAGCCTCTGACTTTTTAAAGAAAAAAGATCTTAGATTTGAAGAGAATGTGTCAGCCAATGAAAATCCATACCGATTTCTCGGTAAGCCTCGATTTGAAATTACAAAAATTAAATAGGAATCAGACCAGACTCTCGCTCGGGCAAAGTCTCGAGAGCGAGAGTCTGGGGTAAACGAGACTACCATCATATGATGTTATTTAGGTGCAGCGACTACCATAATTGCACTTTCTATATAATTCGATATTTGGAAAAGTATAAAATAGTTTAATTTGAATTTTTCAGGACTGATTTAGAATAAATATAGCTTCGATCATGTATAATTTCGTTAATTTACGTTGACTAGTAGCACTTTTATCGAAGTTGTGACATTACTTTTGGATCCACCCTCGTACATGTTGTTGTGAATAAAGTTGTTTCGGGTAACACAACGTACTAACCTATTAAAATTATTAAAGCTTAATCAGATGCTTTTAATTTCCATTAAAGACGGAAGATACGTGTGTCAATAATATATAATTTTTTCCAAGCTTTTTCTATTTAAGTAATATTACTTTAATATCTTTAGTCACAAAAAATGAGGTACCTACCAGGCATTTGTGCAAGTTATCAAAGGATAGTGTTTCTGATGTAATCCTTTTGGGAAAAAAATGAATTGTCCCATGGAAATCAATTTTTTAGTGATTCATTTATTTCCAGATAATCATAAACTGGTTTAGAAGTCAGAATATTTTTCATACATTACAAAAATATACAAAACAGATATCTGAGAAACGTAACGTCTGATCATAAAAGAAATCTTCAAATCAGAGGCGTGTTTTGTCTATCGTCTGACTGGGACATGTCCTATTGGAGAACAAAAAAAAGTCAATCTCAATCCTATTTAGAATTTTAAGTGTGCTTGTCATTCCCATGAAAGAGTAAAGAACTAATAGACACATATGAGAGTGCGAAAGTCCCAAATTATCGATATCACCAATTGGAAAAGGTACGATGTTTCCGATCTGGGCATATAAAGGGTGTTAAGAAAGTTCGTTCCACATTTTCGTTTTATTTTCCAAAAGAAATACGATTAGAAGATATTTACAATTTGTGATATTTCATGTTTACAGAGTCCATTCTTGCTACTGATAAGGTTGTAACTGTCTTTAGTTGAATCAATAAGGAGAGGGCAGGTATTCAAACAGATGATGTCTGTTCAGAAAAATTAGGAATGACGCATATTTGTGACATATATTAAGCACACAAGTCAAAACATCCTTTTAAATACTTTGCAAAAGTTATCAGATCTGTAAAAAAAATTCAAAATGACAAACCTATTCTTTTCAAAAGTGATCTATTGTTCTTATACCATGTATACCTACGCTCATCAGCTTGTCTGATGCAAGATAAGCTATGAAGAAACAAAAGTAACTTATCCTTTATTTTCACTCAAATTGACCGGCATTTGTATCATTCGGGTACTTTAAAGATGTTATATATATCTTCATATGGAAGAAAAATCCCATAAGTTCTTGCTAGAAATGAATTGCTGTAAATCTAAAGCACACTCTTCTGATTTTGTCAGACTTGAAAATTCATCTCGTTATATAAGCACTACTTTGAAATTTTTGAAAATATTTCATCCTGGAACGAACTTTCTTAACACCCCTTACGTTGTAGGTCGTGATGGACCGTAAACGCTTGTCAACAATTTCGTATTATATAATATAATTGAGTATCGCTGTTGTTTCTACTTTTGATGCATGTAAAATCTGCAACAATATATTTCTCATTGCTTTCACCTGCATTCAACATATCTTTTTTACTTTTATATATGCGCATGTTTACATATTTATCAAAAGTAAAATATTAAATAAATAAAATAAATTCCTTTTCAAATAAAAAATTAATAATAAAAATTGTACATAAGCTAGAACCCTTTTTTACCAGCTTGACGTTTTATCAGAGGAAGCTATTAATAACACAGAAAAAATACAGAAAACAGTTGACAGAACTTTGATGATGATGAAAAACCTGACCTCAGAGACAGAACTGAGTGCCGGAGATATCAGATCTTCTCTAGATATCCTGGAGAAAATTGTCAACGTTACAAATTTGACGAATGTGAACATAGAAAAGAGGTAAATCAACTTAATACTTGTTAAATTGCTAAAGATTAGTTCTCTCACACATATGTATGATGTCACGTTGAGAAAATTGGATAAAATTTCCTAGTTTATGAAGAAGTGATACTAGTATTTGGCATGTTGAATATTATTTTTCTTTAATTCTTTTGAAAATCACAGTCGTTTATCAATCTGTACACTCCACTCAAGCCACCTTTATAGATTTCTTAATAATAGTTTGAGCATCGCATCTTCTATCAATAGAAAATACAATAAAATACGTATCAATATTACAATTCTAAACAAACTTGTTGCTTGTTTATACATATGTAAATTTAAACAATACAATGCTTCCCTTTGTTACTATGGGAATTAAACCGGTTATATATTTTCTTTGACGGTTGCAACATTAATTTCCGTACTAACAGCCAATGAAAACGTTACTTCATTTCTGTCAAATACGTGGGTTGATCAAAAAGTTTGCGAACTAGTTTAATAACTTCCATAAATGGAATGATATAGAGTTTAAGTGTTGAATATTTTAAATATTGAATGAATGAACTTCTAGAAAGTCTTAAGTCTTAATTAACAAATTATAATACGCTACTTGAAAAGAAATAGCTTAAAATTTACAGCTGTTCGTTGCTCGAGTACAACTGAGTCAACCAGTTTTGTCACAAGTGATCTACATATTGACTTATTTTCACATTGTGACGTCACAAACATGAAGCAAAATACATTTTATTAGTAAAATGAGAAGATTTCGATAAAAAAGAAGCATTTCATTGATTACATTTGTGAATAACAAACTTCTGAGATTTTCTAATAAATAAAAAGGGATAGCTGAAACAAACGAGCTACAGTCTATTGAAAACATGTACGCATGGTACGTAGTTACACGTCTGGGCCCGGTTTTTCAAAATGTAGTTAAATTTAACACAGTGGTTAGGTTAACAACAGGTTAACACCATGTTAGAGTTAACTACATTTTGAAAAACCGGACCTATGCAGTAAAATTAATGACGTCGAATCTCAACTCTGATATCTCGACACCTCGGATATTTCTACATTTTCCGACTGCCCCGTCGATGTCGAGATAACGAAGTTTACCTGTATTTCACTACATATGTTTGACTCTGTGTGACAAATTTTAAACTGATCTATGTTGTGGATGTTGTGGATTTGTAAATAAAGAGATAGTTTTTGATCACCCCTAGTACAAATGAAATACGTATTTTTTCAGCAAATGGATTCTGCTATATATTATTGAATTTAAATAATCACAGAATGGAATTAAAGAATTTAACCTATTCAAACTGTTTTAAACATTTAGGCGTTTTTTGAGGTCGTTGATAATGTTTTGTCTATCAGTAATACTAACTCCTGGGCAACCGTGCAAGAAAAGGTATGTCTTAAATGATAAAAAAAATTAAGAATTTTTTTTTTTTTTTTTTTAAAGTTTTTTATCTATAAAACTATTCACTATACATGTATTTTATTTTTTTCTGGATCACAAAATTAATGTAGACGGAGAAAGGTGCCACATGGTTAATAAAGAATATGGACAGACTTAGCATAGTCCTTCTGAAAAGCGATAACATAACAGCAACCAAATTTAATGGCACAAATTTTGGTAGGGTTTGTACATATTAGTACATATTTGCATTTCTGTCGTAATAAAAGGAAACCTAAAAACTGCTAAAAATGCAGCTATACGTTGTTGTTTTTTCTTCTTTCAATACATTTTAATACATTTTTAAAGAGCTGGCAATTGATCAGACGACAATTGATGAAGAAGGGATCCTTTTTCCCGATATATCGTCAAGCAATAGTAACAAATCAGTCGATGAATATGCTACGTTTCTAGACTTGCCCAAACAAGAAAATAAATCCAAAACAAGTAATTACAATATATTAATGTCTTTGCTAACATTATTATTGCCATCCTTACATATAATGCTGAAACCAATAAGCTAATCAATTTTTTTTAAAAAATTTCTTTGTCAGCTATTACTTATGTTGCTGTGATATATAGGACTCTATCAGAGATTTTACGCACGGATTCAGATTTAAAAAGGTAATAAATATCAAAATAATTTTACAATTTCAACTTGGCCGCAAACTTTTCAAACGATCCTTGTACATTAAACCAAAATAGGGAGGAAATAAACATGTTCATCTTATTTGGCTTAAAGAGAAACAGGACACACAAGTCTTAATTATTATACTTATTATATTAAAAAATTATTGGTTTCACTTGCAAACAAAACAATTATAATAAATTGCAAAAACTAATGCTTTATCATTTGTTTTTATTTAATTTTACTGATTATGTTTAAGAAAGAAGAAAAAAGTGACAGATAATACAAGAAAAAAGGAGGAAGACATTCTAAATTCTGAAATTCTGTCCCTCACAACGCAGATAGATTTTGTATTTCTTTTTCCTCCTCTAAGTCTAACTTTTCAACATAAGGTAAGATAAAAATTATAAGTTCTGTGAGAAAATTTGCTAAAAATGTATTGAAAAATTGATTTAATTTGTGTTACACAATCCTTGAAATATTATATTTTTGATGAAAATGCAGCTTATACTTCTATTTTTTTCTTTTTTTTTCTTTTCATGTGACAAAAATTCATATATTGTTTTTAGTAAATATCACAAAAATAATTCTTTAGGCATGATTATGTTATAAATTTTTTGAGAATGCTCTTTTTTGTAGAATAAAAATTATAAATACCAAGCAATCTGTGTATCATGGAACTTTACCTCAAAGTGAGTAAGCATTTCTATCTCTGTGTAATTCATGTAAAAAAAAACAGTATACGTTTTTAAATGTGTGAAGTGATAATGTTTGTAACAGTCAAAAATATTAGAATGAACACAGTGAAACAGAAAGAATAAAATATGTGGAAATAACAAACAGTATTCGAGCTCGAAAGACCATTGAATATTACAAAATAGGAGAGGAGTAAACACGGACCTCCAACGCATCATATCTGGGATCAGGTGCCATGAAGGAATTAGCATCCCCTGCCGACCAGTAACACACGGCGTGTGCTCCTTGTCCTGATCGTGAAATAGCGAAAACATCCATGGCCATCTCAACACTATTCTAAACAATTACAACTGTAATAAAATACTTTTAAAATAATACAATGTGTACATGTATACACCTTGTGTCTAATCAAATCTTATACTTAGTGTATGTCATAGATTAAATGTCTTTTTTCTTTGCACTTCAGCAAGTGGTCAGAAAGAGGCTGCAGATTAAATTCCACCAATAAAAAAAGAACAGTTTGCCAGTGTAATCACTTGACTAACTTTGCTATCTTGATGAGACCTTATACATCTGTAAGAAAATTTTATTGTTTATTAAAAAATTATCTTCACATTTCATGCATCAATTTAAAGATGAAATATATCGTTTGACAACTCTGATAAGTTTCTAAAGTATTCTTTAAGTATGAACGTTAAAAAATTAACATCTATTTATATGTATAGGTACATAACAATATCATATAGCAAACACAAAAGCAAAAATAAATTACATGTATGGGAGACTAACTCAGTTCATATATTTTCTTTGTAGGAGAAGGAAGACAAAGATTCGCTTAAGACTTTATCTCTCATTGGTGTCATCCTTTCAGTTGCTTTTACTGTTTTAACCTTCCTTATTTACATCATGACTTGGAAGTATGTGTTTTTAAAGGTTTCAAAATTAATTTTATCATGTAAATTATATCAATCAGTTAACGAAAAAACACGTTAAGACGATAAAACGTTATTTTTTTAGACACATAAAGAATGACCAGAACATCATGCTATTAAATCTCTGTGGATCCTTGGTTTTATCCTATGTTTTATTTATATCGGCTGTAGAAGAAACAAAAAATGAGGTAAATTGTGAAATGTACATTTGATTTAACAGGGGAAAAAACGAAAAAAAAAGACTAATCTTTAACTTCTGATATATTAAAGTATATTGTAAATGAGATGCTCTGATATAATTTTTTTGTATATTTTAGGTCTTGTGTATCGCAATAACCGCCGTCATCCATTACCTTTTCCTGGTGACTTTTTTCTGTATGATGGGAATGGGAGTCTACTATTTTATGAGCATAACCGTGACATATTACGCTCTGCATGTGGCGAACAATTTCAAGTCCAAATCCAGAGTACATTGGTTCCTTTTGGGAGGATGGGGTGAGTAAGGATAGGCTTTTCAAGAATAACACAATCCAATTTTCTTATGACTGATTAAGGAGAAAATAACGAGCAGTGATCGATATCTACAAACAATAAAAGTCTTTAACAGTGCATAAAACAGAGATCCCCTGAATACAGTAGTCAGTGGTGAGATCACGTGACTAGGAGGAGTTAATACACCCATTCGATCTGTCACACCCACAGTGAGCTCTGTTTATTGATCAGATAGGGAAAAATTCCGTCGTCACATTTAGTGTAAAAATGTAAAGAATGCCTAAACATTAGTACGACATGTGTCAGCTAAAATACAACCCATTGATTGGTTACTTAGTTTATTTGCCTATTTAGTATCTTTGCCTACAAAACCAAGAGAACGACCATAGAAATTACATTAAATGTGGTTATTTAAACCAAGTTATTTTAAATTATCTGTCGCTAGACTACTTTGGTTTATACATTGGTCATACTCCGAGCATGCTCTTGAGTATCTGATTAGTAAGGAGACACTGACACCATAAACAATTCAAGTGAGAATGGAACATTACTACATTAGTAAGGAAAATAACTGTGGAAAGCCTGACGTCATTTCGTCTGGAAAACATTATAAAGTTTTTTTTCTTTGAGGTTGAGTGTGCGTGTGTGTGAGAGAGAATAATTAAACTACATGTACATTCGATATATATCATTTTAGAATATGAAAAAAAGAGGAAAACTCAGTAGAACACTTACTGCAGTGTATCATTTTCTTGCAATTTCTTTTAATGAAGTTTAAGAATTCTGCATATTTAGTGAAGATAGAACTACATGTACATGTGACATGGAAGGAAAGGAATGCTTAAAGTATTAAAGAATGAAAAAATGAAAGTACGATCAGCTATTGATATTTAACCATATTTTGCTAGTTATGTTCTGTAGTTATGTTCTGAAGATATTTTTTATGCTTAATCTATCTTTAGCACACTCTGAATATTATACGTCTTTTTAATGAATGCTTACCATTTATTTCAGGTATACCATTAATAATTGCGTCTTCAACATTAGGAGTATTCTGGGGAAACAAATACCATGTTAAACACTAGTAAGTTGAATGTAAAATCATTTTTGTCACCCAAATTTTTCCCATAACTTGAAAACTTAAAATTTCATTCCATATTGTGTTTACATAAAATACCTTTTATTTGTCAACATGAGACAATCAGTTATGTTCTCCAGTGAGTCTGAGTTCATTTGCAATGAAAGACAGAACAACTTCTGTTTGTGAGAAAGGTCATTTATTCAATTTATCATAAAATATATTTGATCAAATGATGAAATTAATGTCAAACATTGATTAACCAAAATTAATTGAATAAATGACAATAAATTTGCAAAGGTGGGGTTAAAAAACCGCCAAACACAAGAAATACATGTATTAACATTATAACATAAGTAAAAAATAATGTAATACAATTATAATTTGAAACACGGGGTAAAAGATAAAATGATAAAAGTACAATTTGTAACACAGGTTTCAACATATTCAAGTTGTGAAATGGAAAAAAAAAATATAATAGTATACATGTAATCATAATAAATGTACAAGACAAAAACCAAAAAGGTATAAATTGTTTGTAATTTAGGACAACTGATTTTATATAGATAAATTTTTAGGGTGATGGTGGGTGGGTAAATTGAATTCTTGTAAAATTTTAGGTGCGTCCAGCAGCTCTTAAAACAAAAAGTGAATAATTGAGATACCTTTGACCAAGATAAGATTTCAGTATAGGTTACTTCAATCTGATTGGATAATTGGTTAATTGTATTAATCACGATGGCTATTGCATACACAGTGTCCCTGCCATGCCAGGTTGCAAATTCCATCTGTTGACGCGTAATTATTCACCAGATGCCAATAATAAACGATACCCCCCACCTACATGTCTGGTGGCTAATTTAAAGATCTTAATCATTTAGGTTATCAATGATGAGTATATAATTATAACAACAGTATCTCATTACAAAATTTGCTGCCAAAAATGTTTTTATTTACAATAAAATAGGTTTTTTGTCACCCAAATTTTTCCCATAACTTGAAAACTTAAAATTTCATTTCATATTGTGTTTACATAAAATACCTTTTATTTGTCAACATGAGACAATCAGTTATGTTCTCCAGTGAGTCTGAGTTCATTTGCAATGAAAGACAGAACAACTTCTGTTTGTGAGAAAGGTCATTTATTCAATTTATCATAAAATATATTTGATCAAATGATGAAATTAATGTCAAACATTGATTAACCAAAATTAATTGAATAAATGACAATAAATTTGCAAAGGTGGGGTTAAAAAACCGCCAAGACCGAAAGTGATAAACTTGAGAGACCCCACCAGAAGACTCAATGGAGATGAGGAACAAAAAGCAAAAATAAAAAAAAATACAAAATAAAAATACACATGTGTAAATGACAAAAAATATACAATACACTACCTATTTAAATACAGAAATTTTTTATAAATGTGTAAGGCACGCAAAGTGATGGGCAGAATTTTTTGTAACTAACTTATTATTAAGAATAGAGCAAGCCTTGTTGACCTCTATTGTGATGACATTATACCCTAAGGAAAAGTCAGGCCACATGTAAAATCATATTTGACACTTCTTGAAGTCTTCTGTATCATTGCATGTTCTTTTTTGCTGAAAATATAACAGTGTTCTTTGTTATAGAAGAATAAAAGCATAGGTACCTATATTTTCATAAAAGTTTGTTTCAAGCATTTTTTTTTTTAATTTCATGATATTATCATTGTCAGTACTAAATTTATAATTTGTATTATACATCAGAAAGAACTACAAAATTCACATTCAAATTCACAATTTGTCAAATTTGATTGAACATTATATGGACGTCATATGCCTTTATTTACCAACACACGAATAATTTTTTCCTAGCTGCTGGCTCTCCATGGAAAGTGGATCTCTTTATCTATTTATTGTCCCGGTTTGCATTATTGCCATGGTATGTACGAATTAGAAAATTGCTACATGTATATTTGTTTTTAGAGGGTCATGGATAATCCAATATTCAAAATTTTCGAGAGAAAAAGATTGATTATATGTTGTGCTAGTGTTTTCAGAGCAATACATTTGTATATTATTTAAAAATGAATACAAAAATGAAAAAAAAAATAAAAAAATAAAAATTAATCTGAAAACTAAAGAAATACGATTTTCAGACGTATTTGATTACTGTAAATTTTTATTTTAGACGACATATTGCGATAACAATAATACGCGAGTGGATGGTTGATTAAGAGATTAAACATGAATTTCAGCATTTAAGCATTAAAAAAAAAAAATAAAGGAAGTAAATATATTTTTCGAGTGGTGCTTCTCGGGAAGTAACGCGGTGATTTATTCTTCTTTGCGTAGGAATCTACAGTATGATACATAACTGCGCTTTTAAATTCTAATAAATTTATCTTTGATATTTTTTAAAGTAAAAAATATTTTTTGCATTTATAAACTATATATAAAGAAAACAATAATCAAGAGAAATCAGAAGAGAAACACAAGAAAGCAATTCAACGCACAAGTGCTCTCAATTTGTTTTGAATTGTATTCAATGAAACTGTAGATTCTTTATTTCTGGCAAGTATTTATTATCGAAAAAGGGTCCTTCAGTGTCAAATCGCGAGAATAATAATTCGCGAATGGACGGTTGATCAAGAGATTCAACACAGATTTCAGCATCATAAAAACAAGCATTCTGAGAGTATTGCATAAGCAATACGTGTCCACTACAGGGGTCCCCTTCTCTTTAGGATACAAGCTCGTTTGGAACATTAATTTAGTTCATCACGAACCCAGTTCTTGCTAAGATAAGGTTTACAGATTTGTTTAAAATTTATATTATCGTTATTTTTTGATTGGTGGAATGTGCCTTCTTACATAACGATTGAAACACTTGTTAATCTTACCATTAAATTATATTTCAGATAAATATACTAATTATTGTATCCTTAATTCGAGTGTTGTTTTCAACGTCTACAATGATTAACTCCTCACTCCATAAAAAAGCGGCGTAAGTATTGAAATTCTTTGTTAGGTTTATACTTTAATCAAAAGATTAAACTGTCATTCGAATTTGAATATCAGTGTTAATACATGTTTGTGTTTAATTAGAAAAAAAAAAAGAAATTCTTTAGGAATGAAAAAAAATATGAATGATTAAGAAAAAGTTAAATAACTTGTAGAAAAGTATATTTACATGTATATATTTTTAAACATTTGGAATTCTGTCTTTATAATTTTTTGTCATTAAAATAGGTCAGGATTGCGGTCTCTTTGTACACTTGTACCAGTATTAGGAGTAACCTGGATATTTGGAGTCTTGGCTGTAAACGAAAGAGCAGAAATTTTTTAGTTTATTTTCATCATTGCCAATTCTTTACAGGTTTATTTTTTGCGAATATATATATTGTAATTTTGTGAAGTTTCGTCCCACTTTCTTTGTAATAAAACGTTTTTCTATATTTCATTATATCAATACACTGTAATAGTACATACTGTTAAATAGGATCATTAATGAATAAGCACTAGAAAATTAATATATATTAAGTGCACAATAAATAATAATTTATGTCAAAATGAGTAAATTCAGTTATTCGAAACGAATATCACAGTTGTATACCGGTATTTATCTTTTCAGGGTTTCTTTATATTTGTCTCGCATGTAGTGTTAAACAAAAAGGTAAGTGGTTTAAATTGTCTGTTTTTTTTTAAAATTTGGTTTCATATAATTGTCTTTTCTTAAAGTTTAACAAATATTTCTTTCTTTTTTATGGCGTCGGGCTTGCCCGATCGTCATCTAGCGATCAGTCAGGTTTACGCGACCGCACGTGTCAGTGGATGCATCCGCAATAGAAAATAGCAACAGCTGTAAACCAATTTCTTTTAAAACGTTCACAATGAATAATAGCTTGAATATAAAATTAAATCAATTGTATCTTCAATTAATACTACTACAAAACAACGATATTATGTTTAATTTTTACGCAAGAAAAACGTTATGGTTGTTGCGGATGAATTTCTACTGAGAGGGTGCGTCGAATGACATGAATCACATTTTGGGACCGATTTCTGTAATACAAACAATCTTAGATACGGTAAAATAATTACAAAATAAACACGAATACAACAAAACTATAAAGATTGAATTTCTTAATCTTAGCTTTACTTTTACGATCTTCAATTCAATTTTAGCCAAACAACCTACGATATTGACCAGTAATGCCAGTATTACTGTATTTATCCATTTCCTCCATTTGTTTACCGCGCCTTATCGTAAGTCGATCGTACTTGTAACATTAGAGTCATGGTTGTAGTTAGATGCAATCACTATACAACAGAACAACACTCTGACAATGGCAATTAATTAAAATAATTTATGAAACCCTTCATATGTCTTCGATTGACTGAAAAGAAATTAGATTGATATAGATGATGGACATTTCTGACGATGTCTGGTCAATTCGAACCCTGACTCATTCGGACCAGGACACAAGGCTATCAGGCCCTATACTGTATTTGTGTTAAGACTATTTTTTTTTTAATGTTATTATTATGTTACTGGAGTCACTCACTTGACCTATTTGCAGATCTTTTGAAATTGTTTTTCTTGTTCGACGCCATTGAAGCCTTTCAGGCTTTTGATTTTTAATTTATAAAGCCTCATGATAAGCGTTGATTACCGGTAGTTTCTTTTTCCCTTCTAACTCACCTGAGCCAGAATGTAAAATGTTCATCTTTGATCAAAATTACTTGTCGTCCTCTTATCTTCCGCAGATTGATTACTTTTCACATTTTTCAAGCAGTATGGATTTGAAAATTTAATCGAGACTCGATTGTTCTAGGTTTCGACCAATTAAATTTCTTTCAAAAAATCTTTCGGAAAAAAACCAAACTTGATCAAGGTCACTCTGTTGAGCGTTGTTGACACCATAGGCCTTTAGTTTTGAAGTAATTAATTTGTTCAAGTATGTTTTGTTGTTTGCCAATTTTTTGTTCGTATAAAATGTTCAATATTTTAACTTTGTGTTAAGCTAATTAAAGGCATAAGGACTCAGTACCCTTCATTGAGTGGATTAAGTATGTTTACCGACTCAAGCGGAAAGGAAACAACCTTTGTATCACGAACAAAAACATCTGATCGTCCCATGGTAAAATCAAAAGCAATTTTTCTTGTTTTTTTTTTTACAGTAAAAATTCGCTACCTTTCACTGTTTAATAATGCTTTTGTAAATAAAGAAGCAATTATGTTGAATATTTGGAGCCATATTTTGTAAGAATTTCACTTTCTTCTGGCATGCGTTATCAAGCATTCTATTACAAATTTACAAAAAGGCCTTCATCGTTCAAACTTAAACCATTCTGATTAAAATTATATATTTTTCATGGCCATTCGTTTGAAAAAAAATAAATGAGAATGATCAGCTTTTTTGTTTCCCAAGTCCCGCTTTGAGTCATTTCCTGTTAGACTTATTTTTTTTATTTTTTTTTTCCTCATAGAAAAAAGGACCATCTTCAGACAAGCAGACATCAAAAATCAAAAACGTAATAAAATCAGACTCTTTTTTGACCGAGAAAACTGAGTGCTAATTACTCATTCACTGCTCAACATGAAAAGGTAAAATTTAAGTATCGATAAATTTAACTCTCATAATTAAAATTCTTGTTTCGACGGGTGACCAATTTTTATTCATCATACTTTTGATTTTAGATTTGTATGATAATGTCTGAAAAGGCGCCAAAAGAAACGGAGAAAAAGGCTGAATGAAACGTTATGAAAAAACAATATTTTTAAACGTTGTAAGAAAATAGACAAAACATTGGAAGAGTGTTTGCATAAGAATTTTCTTTTTTCTATTCTTCATTGAAATGTGATAAATTTTCTATCCAAGATGTGTTTATAATTCTACAGCAGGACATTTTTACTTGTCCGTAAATTAATTTAAGGTACAATGTATTATTCATGAATAATTCGTAAATGAAATAATTATAATCTAGTAAGAAGTCTATTTTCTTTCTTTTCTCAGAATACAAGTATTTAATACGTATATGTAATCCTTCCTATTTGAAACATATATTAACCCCCATAGTGCAACGTCATATACAATGCTTTACTGTTTTACTGAAATATCATAATTATGAAACCTCCTACATGCGCATGCAGTATTCTTGTACTTTTAAAATTCGTGTATATGTTGTTTATATTCTTAGTTACGATGTATTAGTTTTGCTGATTCCAAATATTTATTTCGTTGCATTTTATATTTAAAGCTTTTTTAAAAATCTAATATGTAATTTATTCTGAAATCAAAATTAGATTTTAAGCTTTATACTGAGAATAAAAGTGTAATATATTTTTTATGTAATGTAAATTCTGCTAAAATTTGTGAAAAATGTGTTTGAATTTGTAAATTTATTTTTTTTAATTACTTTTTTCTCTAATTTGTTTTCATTTTCTCTTTTTGTTGTTTTTTTTTTAAATCATTTTTTGTCAAATTTACAAATACAAAGAACAATTCAATCAATGACCAAGCTGGTCTTCAGCTCAGTTGAAATAAAAAATGAACTAAACGAAAAGGAGAAATTATAGAATAATTTTGCATTAAAACTAAATAATCAGAAGAGAGCGAGTTTTATAGTAGGATATTTACAAAAAACTAAATGAATAGATATATAAACAATCAAATAACTGTTTGCAAATAACTATACCATACATATTAATGTAGCATTAATACATGTAGCTCTAGTCTACATGTGTGTCACCATTGGACAAACAGGCGAAAAACAGGAACCGTAAATAATTAGAATCTTTCCGAGTTCAAGGGGCATAACTCTGTCAAAAATAACTCTGTCGCAAATTGCTCGATCGTGCCCAAAACAAAACTTGTCTTTATATTCTTATGATTAATCTGTAAATTTAATTTCATTTTTGCCTGTGCAACCTCAGTAAGAAATTAAAATGAATGCAAATAACTAGAATAAAGGGACTTTTAGGAGACAGATAGATTGATGTCTTAGGTGTAGTCAAAAATGTTAATTTTTTGCGAAAATGATGTAGAAGTCAAACTGAATATTTTCTAGTATTGCTTAACAAAAGACAAAATTGTTTTCTCTGCAAATTTAGAGATTGATTAAATAACCAATCAACGTTTAACATGTGATTGAAATTTTTACTTAAGTCTCTCTCATGATCCTGAGGCAAGGTTTGCTTTAATACCATTGACAGCTACTTTTATAATAAAAATGTAACTCCTAAATTTGCTTTCCTTGTCATTGGTCATTTGCAAAAATATTTAAATATTTTGTTAAGAAGCATTCTGATTGTACATATAAATACTCTCAAGCTGATAAAAAAAAGATGCTTCGGTTTCTGACCGACAATATCTGTGCGGTTTTTTTTCTTCGAACAGTCTTTTGGAATTCCCATATGTACCAACTGTGCCTTTTCTTCTCTGAATTTTAAATAGATGAAATAAAAATGAAAGATGATGTCAATTCACTGCGAATTTGAGGTGTTATGACGGGGCGACTGTCATAAACTTTGCGACTTATTAAATTGCAAGTAAAATTTCAGAACGCTAGATCTACATGTACATGCGTTCAGCCATTTGTAAGGCTGACTGAAATTAATTCTACGTTTAACGTCACTTTAAACTTCGAAATCTACGAGCTCGGGAGGAAAATATTAAACAAATGTAATATCTTCGAGCAAATGAGTCTTTACTCGTCTACATGAATTAGAATACTGTAATATTTGTAATCATGTACAACCTTTTGTTTAAATAACCATTTTCAGTAAACCTGTGTCTTTAAATGATAGATTTATTAAACTCAGCACAAATATATCTCAGACATCAAGCGGGTTTCATTATCGACTTTATCTTATGCGGTAAAGAGATGGCCATTCTTGTGGATTGTTTTCTAACTACAGCCAAAAAACCATGTTCATAGAATTATACATTTTTTCAGCCTAAAAAATATTATTGGATAGTGTGGATATAAAATTTGTATATACAAGATGATTCTTTGAAATTCAATCCTATTTAAATAAGAAATGAAGAAAATTAAATATAACAAATTAAAATTCAAACATAGACTTTCTCGATTGACAATAGTTTAAAACTTTGAGATTTTGATTACACGTAGCATTATAAATAATTTCGCTATAAAGCATTTTCATTTGTCAGGGTAAAATCCTTAATGGAAAACTTGTGTATCACATGTTTAACATGAAGGTATTGCTTTGGGTTTGTTTTAGTTCATTTATTTCGAAAATGGAAAAAAAATCAGTACATACATGTATAATCAAGATACATGTATATCTTTTTTACAGATGTGTTTGAAATAACTAAAATAAATGTTCTAACTTTTTGTACATTATTCTAGGCGTTTCTTATGTATAAATACACAATTATAACAAATTATAAGATGTATAAGTAGTGACTGGAGAAAAAAAAGTAAATTATATCTTCCTTGTCACGAAATTCAATGTGACGTGTGGGAAATATAGCGGTATTGTACAAAGCGAAAGTTATGAAATTCAAGTAGGCAGTAATGATAAACAATTTTTTGTATTTTCTTTTTGCCTTTATTAATTACCCCTGTAGCTGTATTGGCACACACGTATATGTCTTAGATGTATGTTAGGAAAAAAGAACATGATGCTAAAAGATTCTTGACAATTGCATATATTTGCTCAAATTCAAGATATCAATTAAAATAACTTAATCAAGGAGTACAATGTATATATATTGAATTATGTTTCATTTATGCCTTTGAAGATATAATGATTTCCGTTTTAATCACACTTATAAAACATTGTCTTTTATTAGTCTTTTATTGCCTTTAATATACTGAATCTGTGAAAATATTTAGGAATGTATTTGATTCATCTGAGCTCTAGTTACTTTCTTCCGACAGTCATTCTATCCTTCTATACAGTTAATTGTTCGATCGATTAAAAGTGACTTTTCCGAATGGCTAATTCTTTCCCCTCTTACACTGTATACACATGTCTTTTCAGGAGCCCTTCTTTTTACTGTCTTTCCGATTTTTTTATCATCTTTTCATTATCTTTAGGATTTATATGATCTTTATCACTTTTCTTCTTTTTTTAACAATTTGTGACCTCATTATTTCAGGAGGAAAGAGGAGGGAAGACATTGTCTCTTCTTAAAAAAACCATTGAAATCATTCACTTAGTCTAAAGAATCATATCTTTTGGATATACTAGTAATTATAATGATATAGCTTATTTATTCATTTCATGACATTATTTTAAATTATACTCTTCATCAGATATTAAAAAGTATACATTCTGTGATTTAAAAACCACTAAGGTTCAAAACATATTATTAAGATATTTGTTCCAGACAGACTCTTCTCACAAAGAGGACATTTGATTTTCTTCTTAAACCTCTATTCAATATATAATTGACAAAATACCATTACATGTAACTATTTTTGTTAAACAATTTATATGAAACACCAGAAATGCATCCCACTCAGAAAAAGAAATAGTTTCCATAAAGTTTTAATTAGCGATCTAGATATTTATAATGAGTTCTTTTATGTTAAATTTGAGACTTATCTAATTTTTTTTATACAGTGATAATCTTTCAAGTCCATATGATTCGTTATCCCCTATTGACACCCGCTGTTAACCCTTTATAATGAAACAGGAAAACGAACTTTCTATTAAGTATGAAATAAAGGCCTAAGAATTGGTAGGAAAACGTCAAAAGATCCAGTAATAGGTTTTAATTGCTAACAAGGTCATTAAAACGACCGTAGAATTTACAAGATGCTAATATTGATTGATGTCGTTAAAATCCATATAACATCAACTTCTGTGTGAATAGTCTATCTCGGTCTAAAATTTAAACGAACTCAGGGCAAAAAAAATTAAAGTTTATGGAGAACTTGTAAATTATATGTTAAACATAAAGGTATTGCTTTTTGAGTGGATATTCTTTTAATGCTCTTATTTCGAAAACCTACTAACTTAATTTAATATTTAATTTTCAAAATACTTTTACATGTACACTTGTATCAATTTTGGTTAAGCAAAATTAAATGGAGCACCGGAAAAGCATCCCTTTCTGTTAAAAAAAAGTGTTTCCTTAAAAATTTATTCCTGTTATTTGATACACATCCAAGTTTATTTGATTTTATATGATAATGATGTGTCAAGTGCATCTTTCGTTGTACACTTCTAAAAATGTTCATCCTTCCTCATTTGATTTAGTCCACTGAGGATAACGCAATGAAGAAACTGCTAGCTGCTCTGTTTATTCCATTGTATGGTAGGTTTATGTTTAGATCTTTTTCATGTACATTTTGTCAGTATATAAACAAACTCAATCTTGAAATATGCCACTTAACATCTGCTTCAAAGCAGGTTTCATAGAGTAAATATCGCAAAATGCACTGTCTTCCGACAATATTCCTATGCTCATCGCATGCGAAGGTTCTTTAGTCGTACATGTACATGTATACTTTCAGTTTTAACACCGAAAGCAATCTAATGGTTTAATGGTTCCTTTTGGACTGAAAAACAAAGTTTAGACAAAAGTTTAGGAAAAATATAATTGAAAGTGGGGGAAAGTACTTTTGTTTTCAATCGGAAAAAATGTTACGCTTTATTGCTTATGTAAACATTATTTCGTCTCATAATAAATATATATTTTTTTAATTTAAATAAGAATTTATTCAATGTTTTAATTGAGATAGGAAGAATATTTTAAGATATCACAAAAGTGATGATTGCGTATGAGCGGTTTTTCCTTGACAATTTATTTATGAATGAAACATTCAGCATTTCTTCATATCCAAATAAATGCATTTGTGTTTGATTACAACTTCAAGTAGTAATCAGGAAGTAACCCCCAAAGTAGAACAGAATACCAGTATACTTACAATCTACATAACGGATATAAATCGTATAGACATTTCGATACTGTTTGATGTTTTGTAACTGTTCCTTTTGAGATCAGGATTTTTACAATTTAAATAGCAGAAGCTTTTCAATAATGTAACCTGCAAGCTCGATTTTATAAGCTGAATAAAATCAGAGACCTAATAGTAGAGATTAAAGAAGGGCAAAATCAGTTTTCATGTTCTTCTGGAGAATGTAGTAAGGTTCCAGTAACCGACGCCCCAGATTCTGCTTTTTTCCATTCAATTTATAGTACATGCTTGTTTCGCTTAATTCCAGGTCAAGGACATAAAGCCTATTTATTTTGAATTTTTTGGTCCCTGATGCTGAATACATAACACTTTGTGCTTAGATGGATACAGAACTGTTGCTCTTAGCTTGAGAAAATTGCGGACATAGTTACAATTCTGTAGCTAACGTTGTACTGTTTTTCCACCACATTCAGAGTAGATTAGAATATGTTTTTGTCTTTACTTTGCGTGTTAAGGTGACAGGTGATACCGGTAGTTTCGTACTAATCAAAGACAGTGTTACAGATGGCAGGGTATAGTTTCGTATTTATTACGGCTCATACCTGTTTAAAAAATGAAATATCCCTATTTGATGTGATAATTTATAAAGACTAAAGGGTTTTCCCACTTCTTTATTGTTCTTTGCTTACTACAAGCTTTTAAAATAAGGGGATTCCCCTGTTTTATATAATGAAGGTTTTAACTGTTTTCAACAAAACTACTCCAATATAAAACTACTGTTATAGGCCAGTCAAATTTCAGTGCAAGTGTTTTCACATGCTTTGTAGATTGTCACATATTTTTTTTATATACTTATATCGTAAAGTTAAAAAAATCTCATTGAAACATAAGAACCAGCAAGTGCAAACAAAATAACTTTCGGTTAACACATTCACTTTTTACACAATACATGTATAAATTAAGAGGGTTTCATCTTAGTCGGATGAGTAGTTTCCGAGAACACTCGAAGACAAAAAAGTACTTGTGAAACACTACAAATGTAAGAAACAATTATGTTTTTTGGGGGGAAATGATTAAGATAATATTTTGTGGTCCCACCTTTCCTCCTGGAGGTTATGATCTAAACAGAAGTCAATCAATTTACACATGCGGTTGTTTCCATATAAAGAGACTAACCCTGACATCGCTTTTTCTCAGAAATCCTTTTAAGATTAAAGATTTTTCGATGTATCCCTATACAAAAACTTCGGTCACTTATGGTGGATCCGCCCGATGATCATGATATGAAATCTGCACTCCTGAGGATCCCTCCATATATATAATGTATGGCTAATTTTTTAGAAGAGATATTGTGATTAATTGATCGCCTATGAAGGCCCAATCCACCCCTAAGCTAAATTTATCTTACATTTTCAAATATAATTTGCATCAACAAAAATTTAATTAATTAAAAGGATAGCTTAGAACTGTGGCTAGCTGTGGATCAACATTAAATAAATTTAAAATAAAAAGATGGACTCAACTTTACACTTGTTAACGATGTATTTCTTACTTGTTTTGTAAGTATAATTTATAGTAGAATATTAAAGTAGAATTTGTTGTTTAACGTCCTTCTCGAGAATGCTTCACTGATATCGAATGTATGTTACCGGTATTTTACGCCCAATCCGAAAAGTTTTGCTCATATAAAAACGTCTTCACTTGGTGCGGTGGAGGGCTGAAAATTCATACCTTTCCTCGGACTAAGGGCCGTTGAGTAGAGAGGGATCTTTTCGCCAACATCAGTACCTTAGCATGCGACCTCGGTTTATATGGTCTCATTAGAAGGACAGGCCTTCAGGCTCTTGAGTGGATTCAAAACTCCTACGTAAGGATCAGCTCTTTACCCCGAGATTCCCAAACCACAGCGGCACGCAGGCAACCGTTTTTTATAACACATTTTGATTGGTCAATGAACTAAATTAATTTATGTAGTAATTTTAAATCGTTTTATTGCCTCAGTGTGTTCTAGAAATACTCTTGGATTAGAGTCAATTTACGGTTTACCGTCCCTGCTTACGTGTCGCCGGTGAAAGGATGTTTGTGACAATGTAATTGGCATTAACCGCCACATATACACTGTCAGAAGACATTTATTCCTTTAATATGTTAAATATTGCTTCAAATTGTTTCCTTTTCAGTGCCGGTGACACTCTTTAAAAAATCCAATTACTTCTACTCTTCTTATTTTACTTCTCATTATAACACTCCAATAATTTTCTATGTGGCTTTATTTTTGCTTCTCACAGTGTCAGCAATAAGTGCTTGTAAAGGCGTTCAAGAGATACTTCTCCAGCCTTATATCGGGGAAATGGTCGCTTATCCAGAAAACTTTCCTATAAATGAAGGATACGAAGCGTGAGATATAATGTTTCTCGAAAAAAGTGCATTTTTCCTACAAATTGTATTTTTATTGATTTTTTTTATTTATGCATTTACATGTATTAAAGCTAGAAGTGATGTTTAGTAAATTTTCATAAGTATAAAAAGTTGTAAACAATGTTTTAGAAAATTGAACTGCTCCTGGAAAATCAGCACGGTGCCTGGATATGAGATTGTGTTTTATCCTAAGTGGAAGTGCAATGAGGATATGTTTTTAAGTCTATATTACGGTATTTTTAAATTTGGAATTTCTTACTAAAACTTATTTCCAGTAGCAAATATTGACAAAATTTTATTTGATGGTGTAACTACTGTAAACTTTTGTTCGCATGCGAGGTTATTTATCGTTGCGTTAACTTTGTAAGTTTCTTAATTACCTAGAGCAAATTGGATGATAAGAGGAATACTCTGTATTTATCAATCAAATGAGATTCAAATCTAAAGATGTAATATACATGTATCTAAACTTGAAAGTAATTTGTATCGCGTAAGGGTATAGGTACCTACCAGACACAATTAACCTAAATCAGAGCAAACCCCATAGCGAACCCTGGGTTCTCTTTGCCCGCGATTCATTACTGTAAAGTATTTTTTCTGCAAGATATTAATTTATGTACTGTTCGCGGTCATACAATTTGTCATCGGGTTTTTAACGTTTATTAGAAACGTATTTGTGCAAACTAAAATATATATTAATAATTTCTTCCCGTGGATTTCATAAAAATTGCGATTCCGCGGAATACTGACCTCATGGGGAAAAGTTTGTTTCAGTATTTAAAAATCTAGGTGCGCCTTTGGTGCTTATATATACCTGTGTTTTATCAAAAGAGTATAAGAACAGGAAAACCACGTGCCCTGCAACTTTAACAAAAAGAATATTTGCTTCGCTAACGATATAAATATATTTTTCTTTATGCAAGAAACACGACATAGTCAAAAATATATCCTGATACTTTTCCAACTCTTTTTGAAAGATGCATCAGGTACAACAAACAGAGATAGTTGTGTCAGCTGTTCCAAATTATCAGAAGACTGTAGCAAAATCATACAAACTGGATCATCGGGAATTCATCTGAACTTTAGAACAGTGACTTCATATAAGTACGGTGGCTTCCAGTTTCGCTTCATGTCTGTTGAAAAGAAGAAAAGTTCACGTATGTCCATTTACTTTAAAATTTAATTTATCATAGTTAAATCTGTACATTAACATTTTCTTCTTTTTTTTTGGCAAAATATATATAAATTCCATTATTGTTTAAATTTTGGATCGATCATGGGTGCTACAAGAAAAAGAAAAAAAAAGAAATTATTGTAATAATTGTGGATTAAAAAAAATGGATAAGGGTGGGGTGTTTCCAATCCATTTATCAAGTTATCGTCTTATCGTTTTCTTTGTTTAATTTTTATATAGTAAATGTCTGTGCTTTTACAAATAAGACGCTACTCGCAGAAGCAACACCTAAATACATCACATCTCCAGGGTTCCCAGCGGAATATCCAAGGTACACGTATTACTTTTAAAAACAGAATTTGGAAGAGAATATTGTTTCAAATGTCACTAAATATGTATTTTTCATCAACTTCAGAAATTTACGATGCTCATGGACAGTGGAAGCTGCTGTTAAGAAGAAGGACATTCAATTGGTTTTGGAGTTCCGTTCTATGTATTTAGAAGATGATGGCAGTGGCTGCTCTGATTACATAAGGATAGATGGTCTAGGTGGATAGTATCTGTACCGTATTTAACATTTAAATAAAGATCTGCATGCCTAAAACCAAATTGGCATTGTTTTTAAAAAAATAATTTACAAAAATTATTGTGTATCTTACATGTATTACATGTACTTACTCTAACTATGGGTTTTAATTTACTTAATATTAGACACTTATTCGCGTTATCATAGAATGTGAATAAAAAACTGCTTCACAGTTTTTTTTTCTCTAACAAGTTTTGCCTGCTGAAATTATTCAAGATAAAACTTCAGGGAAAAGGGATTCAGAAGAAATGGTGGAGTTATTTTTTTTGTTCCTATTGATATTATAGTTGATATTATGATAATAAAGAAAAGTTTAAGAAGTACGTTGCTAAGGGACGTAAATATATACTTAACTTCTCTTTGCAATAAAATTATATTAAAATGTGTGTTTTAGAGCTTTGTGAGGAATCAGAGAAAAATATTCTACAGACATCCAACAAAATAATACTGAATGGTTCTTCAACAGAGATGCAGTTTGTAAGTGACATAGGCTTTGGAGGCAGCGGCTTTCTTTTGGCCTTTTACATTCAAGGTGAGCTTCTATTCTAAATGTATGCAGGTAAAGTTTGTTTTAATACATGCCAACCTATTGTTAAGGTTATTCCTTTTTCAAAGTTTTTTTTCAGTTTGATTACTGTACAATTTGTAGTTGAATTTGAAGAAAAAATGTTATTCCTTTTTTCTTGCACTTATGTAAATGGATTGATTGCCTTGTTTTGTAATAAATTATATAGTTGAATATCTTCAGAAAAAATGCGAAAATGCCCATGTCAACACGGGGGTACATGCTTGAATTCCACATGTGTTTGTCTGCATGGTTATAAAGGCGATAATTGTGAAAATGGTAAGCATTCAATTTTTTTCTGAATTGATGACGGATTTCCGTTATTTCTTGATCACGACAAGGAGCGCACGGCAGGTGTGACTGGTCGGCATGGAATGCTCACTCCTCCATGGCTACTGATCCCACCTCTTATGTTTTGGAGGTCCATGTTTTCTGTGCTCCTTTTTTGTATTGTTTATTGGACTTCTGATCTTGAATACTGTTCGTTATCTCTATATATTGCATTCCTATGAAAACAATCACCGGAAGCCTGTAGGTGCAAGGTAAAAAAAAAATAATTTGGCGTCTGCCAGATCTTTTTATCTTTTTTTTTTTTTAAATCTGTTTCTTTTTCCTTTCAAAGAATCCTTAGAAGTTCTCTCCTTCAAAGCCAACAATGTATTATTGCGTGAAGGAAAATCTGTCAATTTCGAACTGGAGCTAATAGACGACAGCATCCCCAGTGCACAATGGTTTCGCAATGGAATTGGAGTAACCAGCGCTTCTTTGAGATACCTTAGAAATTCTATTATAACAGCCAATGGGTTATTTTCCTATTGGTTAAACATATCCAATGTTTTGCAACGAGATGAAGGTAACGTCACAAGAAATATTCGATGAGCGCATTTGTCTGTTTGTTTGTGAGTGAGTGAGATAGAGAGAATACCATTTTGAAGTTGTACTCCACTAATAAAGTAAATATACATGTACTATAACATTTGTTGTATTGTAAATACTTAGGAAATTGGACAGTCGAAGCATCAAATGCTGTAACGACAGCATATAGGAGTATCCGTATAAGAGGTGAGGCCAACGAATGTTGAAGTTATTTGTAAGAACAATAGGAACACATTTCTTGTTTTTTTTTGTATTGTAGTTGTAAACTTGCTACAGAAAAATTTGTTTTCAGTATACGTACATCGATGTATCTTTAAGATTTACTCTCCGTTTTGACGAGAAAAAAATGCATATGGTTTGAAATTAATCTGGTTAAAGTTTTTTACCTAATAGAGGTCCCAACGAAGCGACAAATATTATAGTTGTTGTACATAATTCACAATAATTAATTGGTGTTCCTGTTTTATGTTTAGTTCTCCCTAAACTTTTGCTGCAGATGACACCGCAGTATGACTTTTCAATTCAAACCGGAGAAATAATATACCTTCAATGTACTGTCTTAAATCCTGAATCTCTGAATTCTTTAACAAACGGAAATTTAATATGGCAGAAAAACGGAAAGAATATCAGAACAGGTATTGTATAAAAAAAAACTTAATTGATATTAATATATATAAACTGAAAAAATATTTTTTAAAAATTAAGAATTAAGCCCTATTGAAGTAAAAAGAATTGGATGAAAGATAATTAAAAGATCACTTGCATGCATCTGTCACTTAGTATAGATTGAATAAAAGGTCACCGAAAACCAAAGAATAGTCAATGGCATACTCCCTTTAATTTCCTTTAAATCCTTCTTAACCAATTATATCCCATCTTGTGATTGAAAAAAAATATTGCTGATAAGTTTATAAACATGCAATCATCTTTGTAAACGGAATCAGTTTTCTCTGCAAAATGCCCGTCATATTCTTACATATATTTTCAGACACAGATTTTGGAATCAATGTGGGTAGAACTAACATAAGTTCAACATTAAGAAAGACATCAGCAAGACTTGATGATTCTGGAACTTATTTGTGCTCATACTCTTCTTATCCTGAGCCTACAAATGTTTCCATCACTGTGAAGGTAACAAAACCAGGTGAGTTAAAGTTCTGTTAAATACTATTATCTGTATGACTATTGTATTTGGTGATATATGTTTTCATAACACAAAATACTTCGCATGAACTTACATAGTTAGTTTTTGGAGACCAGGTATTCCAACAATCTATTGGAATTCCAATGAATACCAGTTGCGCTCCGTTATTAGCAGACCTATTTTTATATTCATATGAAGAATAAATTTGTGCAAAATCTTATGCATGAAAAGAAGAAAACACTTGCTGTGGCCTTCAACTCGACATTTAGATGTATCGACGACGTATTGTCAATTAAGAATGTGGATCCTATTCAGGATTCGATCCATGCCATGACGCTTGGACGAGAAATTAAAAGAAAACGAAAAAACAACCGGGAAAAAACAGTTATAATGAAAATGTATTAGAAAAATGGCAGAGGTGCTAAAGGGGGATAAAATATCAAATGAAGGGGAGGGAGGGTGAGTTTTGAATAATTTTTGCGTCTGCCTCATTCAAATTACAGATTAAAAGGAATATTCTAGAAGACATGCACATACAAGAAAAATCTAGAATTTTTTGAGCATCGAGCCCGATGATTTAAGAAACTAAGAGTTATCTATCTTTGTATGTAAAAAATTAAGCTGCACGAAATAACCAGGTTTATCCATATTGGATAAACCCCATCATTTCGTGACATTGGACTTAAAACAATAACAGAAACACACTTGATCAGATTAACCCCTGTAAAAGGTTTAAGAAGTCTGTAAATACAGTCAATAAAAAGAAGACTTTATTAGTTTTGGCGTACTTGTCATGGCCATGTAATAATATATTAGATATAACACAATGTATGGTTGAGCATAGGTAAATGAATATAGATAATGAGCAAGAGAAATACCATCTTGATCAAAGGAGTCTGGAAAAAAACAGTACCCCCGGAGACAGCATTCTTTGCAAAATTATGCTAAATGGGTCATGGGACAAAGTCACTTGACCCATCCGCCACAAACTAAAATTGGGGCGCCAATCTTGCCACCCAAAGTAACAACAGCACAAATCGTGCACAAATTAGGTACAGATTGCACCAAAGATATGTATTATAACAAATGGGTCAAGGGACATAGTCGCATGACCCATCCGTCTCAAACTAAAATTTTGCAGCCCATAGTAACAATAAAAGCACAAATCGTGCACAAATTAGGTACAAATTGCAACAAATAACTAAATTGGAAGTGAAAGGCAGCCCAAGATTGAAATTTTGAAAGAAATGCAAATGGCATTGAAAATGATAAATGTGCAACTCGCACACAATGGGGCTCATGACAAGCATCAGGGAAATGTTGACAAAACAAAATTAAACAATTGAAATGATCTAAAGCATTTCTCAAAGTATAAATAAAAAAACTGTTTCAACAAATAACTAAATTGGTAATATCTGGATAACTGAAAGGCTTACTTACCACAAATATAGCACATGCACTATTAATCTAAAGCTTTGTCATTCTGCATTTGCAAGGCAATTTATCAATTATTTTGAAATTTTGTTTGTGGGAATAGAAATGTCAAAGCAATATTTGAATTGCAACATTGTGTCAAAAATTAAACAATATATGATAAATACGACAATGGTCATGTAAGATTTGTAAGCTCTGCACACAATGGAAACATATCGGAAAATTAACTTCATGACAAGCATTTTTTTCTTCTAATTCTGTTAAAAAGGAAATGTTATTTCACTTTTTTGACAATAACAAAATTTTTAAACACAGCTTGAAATGATCAATTTTTTTTTAACATTTTGATTTTACAGTCATTAAAAGTTTTAATTTGATGTGTAAGTTATAATAACAATGAACCAAAAACTCTCAATGTACATTGTATAATAAAACACTTAATTTTTATAAAATTCATGCGTTGAATGATTTATAAGCCTTTTTTGGATTGACTTGTTATAGAATCCAATATATCGCATATCGCTTTAAAAAAATATTGTATCGTATCGTATCTAAATTTTTAGCTCACCTGAGCCGAAGGCTCACTTGCTTTTCTGATCACATTTTGCGCGTCCTAAACTTTTCATTTTTGACTTCTTCTCAAGGATAACCAAACTAGCCACAAAGCATCCTTGGGTAAAGGGGATTCAAGTTTGTTCAAATGAAGGGCCACGCACTAATTCAACGGTAAATAATAATTGGGAATTATTGAAAATTTAGTGGTATCTTTTAAAAATCTTCTTCTCACCACAAAAAATATATTTGGAAACACATGCACTATTAATCTAAAGTTTTGTCATTCTTTAAAAATCTTTTTCTCAAGAATAACAAAGCCATAATTGATCATATTTGTATGGAAGCATCCCCAGGTAGCGTAGATTTAAATTTGTTCAAGTCATGACCCCCTAGGGGTAGGCTCGGGCCAAAGTGGCCGCCTAAAGTTTTACATTGAAATATATAGGAAAATTCTTTAAAAATCTTCTTTTCAAGAATAACAAAGCCGTAATTGATCATATTTATATGGAAGCATCCTCAGGTAGTGTAGATTTAAGTTTGTTCAAATCATGTCCCCGGGTGGTAGGGCGGGGCCAAAATGGCCGACCAAAGTTTTACATAGAAATATATAGTAAAATTCTTCAAAAATCTTCTTCTCAAGAATAACAAAGCCATAATTGATCATATTTATTTGGAAGCATCTTCAGGTAGTGTAGATTCAAGTTTGTTCAAATCATGACCTCCGGGGATAGGGCGGGGCCACAAAGGCCAATCAAAGTTTTACATAGAAATATATAGGAAAATTCTTTAAAAATCATCTTATCAAGAATAGCAAAGCCATGATTGGTCATGGGACTACTTTTGGATATAAACTATTCAATAATAAATAAGTAATCCAATTTCTGCTTTTTTCCAGCCACAGTGCTCAGGTTAGCGATGTGGCCCATGGGCCTCTTGTTTGCTCAATACACAGCCCTAGCAGCCGACTGCCACCTTCCCATCTGCATAATATTTTCCTCTGAAAACCTTTTGTATACAAGTGGGTTGCAACCCCAATGTGAAAAAAATGAGTGCGTCTTAAATTCAGTTGACTGAATATTCAAAAATTGCAAAGCTTTGTTTAAGGTCAATTCATTGTATAACGACCATATTTTGTACCTAAGAAATAAATAGTCCTATATTTTAAATCAAGGTAGCAAAATATTTTGATTGATTGATTATTATTGTTTTACGCCAAGTCGGCAATATTTAAGTCGTATTTTGAAGATGTTATCAAATAAAAATGCTCCATCTCTCTCTTTTTTTCCCTTTCTTTTTTCATTTTCTTCTTTTTTGTTTTTTTTTTGTTTTGTGATATTGACCAATTGATGGGACCTTAATTTTTACATTCAAGTCTATGGACGATATCGACGACGTATTGTCAATTAAGAATGACCGTTCACGGTAGCTCAGTCGGTAGAGCGCTCGCTTCGTGATCGGGAGGTCATGAGTTCGAATCTCGGCCGCGACTGACTTAAGTCGATAAAAAAATGGGTAGCAACTGTTCCTTCGCCATGCGCATGGCACTTTGAAGTGAAAGTTGTGGGTCCTTCGGATAAGACCTTAAAAACCGAGGCCCCGTGTCAGCGGCAGGCGTTGGCACGATAAAGATCCCTCACTGCTCAATGGCCCTTAATGCCAAGTAAAGGTCAAAATTTGACGCCCTTCACCGGCATACGGTGACATCTCCATATGAGTGAAAAATTCTCGAGAGGGACGTTAAACAGTATATAATCAATAAATCATCAATTGAGAATGATAATTATTCCTACGTCGATACGATATTATCTAGTGAGCTTGAGATAAAAGATACCACAAAGTCTGACACATCTGTTTCATACTTGGATATTTAACTTGAAAAAGACGTTAATGGTAATCTAACAACCAAGCTATATGATAAACGTGATGACTTTAACTTTTCTATTGTCAACTTCCGTTACTTATGCAGCAATATACCTTCATCACCTGCATACGGAGTATATATATCTCAGTTGAATCGATACGCAAGAGCATGCTCTACGCATGAATAATTTCTAAAACAAGGTAAATTATTGACAAACAAGTTGATGAATGAAGAATATCAGCAGTCTCGTTTACAGTCATCATTTCTATGGTTCTATGGTCGATACAATGACCTTGTCAGCAAATACAATTTATCATTGAGTCAATTGCTGAATGACGTTGTTCATTCTAATTGTTAGTCCATTATTTATACACTGAATTGATGACAGATTTTCCCGTTATTTCCTGATCATGACAAGGAGCACATGGCAGGTGTGACCGGTCAGCAGGGGATGCTCAATCCTTCAAGGCACCTCTGATGTTTTGGAGGTCCGTGTTTGCTCTGCTCCTATTTTGTATTGTTGCATGGACTTCTGATCTTGAATTCTGTTCGTTATCTCCATATCCTTTTTACATACTTTGATAACACAGATCAAGTGAGATGTCCAGGTGGGATGTTTGAAAACATAATATGGAATGCAACAGTCGCAGGAACAACTAAAACAGAATCATGTCCACCAAATCAAAAAGGTATGTATGTAATTTATATAATGACCAACGCTATATCTAAGGTAGTGATTAATGAATTGATATAAATAAATATGGGTTCAGTATCATAATTAATAATTGCTATTTTAAGGATGGAGTGAAATGAGAATAATCAAGAAAAGTACATAAAAAATCAGGTTCCTCCATTTTTCTACCATATCTTAATTTAAAACTCTAAACGTTGTTTGAAAATATTCCTTGAAATCCCTCCTTTTGAGGACCCTTTCTTCGCAATTCATCCCGAGAAAAAGTATTGGAATTTGAGGAATCAACATCTTTGCTGTGGATTGCTTGTAACATTGTTATATTTAAAAAAAAACCTTGGATAGAATCAAAATAAGATTGCTAATGATATTTCACTAAATATAGTTAACTTCAGAAAACAATTTTCACCTTCTTTTCCGAGATTTATGAACACTGTACCTTTCAGGTAGCTAAATAATGGTAGACATCAAAAAGCAAACATATGATATTTATAACGATTTTTAAAAAAGATTTCGACTATACAAAGAACAGACGTACAAGAAATCATTTATTTACGATACCTAAAAATAAATTTAAAAAATACTAAAATCATCATAATCAAATGAAAGAATTGTACAATTTTACTTCTCCCTTGTTTCAGGAACAGCAACCAGATATTGTGACACTCAGGGTGTATGGGATGTCCCTGATCTGATAAGTTGTGCTGATGTAGCTCTTGTGAACGCTTCCAAACAGGTAAGTCATGATCAGTGAACTTGAATATAGGAACAGATTTTACTAAGGGGATTTTTTGACTGTGTTTTCCGAAAAATCACAATTGCTACGTTTTAGTTGAAAATATAAGAAATTATACTTGGTCCTTATAATTTCTTCAGAAATGACTAAAAAAAAAATTTCCCTCATTCTTTACATATACCTCAACCTGTTCTGATTCAAAAATGTTCAATTAAATAATGAAAGAATGTTTCAGAAGATTTCAATCTATATTTCATATTTTCGAATCACATGGTGGGATTACTTCTTTGCTGGTCTACTCAGATACACCCACATTCCTCGAAATTGAAAAACACTACTGTGATTTCACAAAGCCTTTTTATAAATACCATGACTTCCATTTATGTTTGTCGCTACCGTGTATTTTACAATAGCTAAGCACAAACGTCAGTCTGATAAAAATAAAACCTCCACTAGTTCATTTTAAGCTCACATGAGCTGAAAGCCCAATTGAGGTTTTCTGATCACAATTTGTCTGGCGTCCGTTTGTCTGTCTGTATAAACTTTTCAAATTTTCGACTTCTTCTTAAGAACCATTTGGCCAATATCAACTAAACCTGTCAAAAAGCATCCTTGGGTAAAGGGGATTCAAATTTGTTCAAATGAAGGGCCACATTCTCTTTCAAGGATAGATACTTAAGAAATAGTGAAACTTTGGTGGCATGTTTTAAAAATCTTCTTCTCAAGAACCACTTGGTCATGAAAGATGAAACTAATGTGGAAGCATCCTCAGGTAGTGTAGATTCAAAAATCATGACCCCCGGTGGAAGGACAGGGCTACAGTGGAAAATCAAAAAGACAATAAGGACTGAAACTCTTTAAAAATCTTTTTCTCAAGAACAACAAAGCCATGATTAGTCATATTTATATGGAAACATCCTCCGGTAGTGTAGATTCAAACTTGTTCAAATCATGACCCTCGGAGGTACATGTAAGGTGGGGCCACAGTGGACGGTCAAAGTTTTACATAATAAATAGATATAAATAGGAAAAATCTTTTAAAATCTTCTTAAGAACAACAAAGCCATGATTGGTTATATTCATATGGAAGCAATCAGAGTTAGTATAGATTTAAGTTTGTTCAAATCATGACTCCCGGGGGAAGGGTGGGGCAACAAATGACTCAAATTTTAACAAAGGAATATATAATATATAAAACATCTTGAAAAATCTTCTACTCAAGCACAACAAAGCCATAGTTGGTCATACTCGTATTTGTAGGGAAGCATCCTTGGGTAGTATATATTCAAGTCTGTACAAATCATTACCCCTGGGGTAGGATGGGATCACAATGGACGATCAAAATTAAACAAAGGAAAATATATAAAAATTCTTTAAAATTCTTCTTCTTAAGAACAACAAAGCCATGATTGGTTGTTTTTGCAATGGATCATCCTCGGATACTGCAGATTCAAGTTTGTTCAAAACATGACCCCTGGAGGTTGTTTAACACCAAAAAGAAAATTTTCAAACTTATAGTGAAAAAAAGCTTCAGTAAGTCTAAGAAATATTTAAGTATTCTTCATAAGTGTAGATTCTTGTTAATTCAAATCGTACCCCATCCCCTTTTTAGGGGAAGGTTTGGACCACTTATGCATTCAAGCTTTTCAATACTGGATTGATTTTTGCTTTTTCCTAGCCATAGTGCTCAGGTGAGCGACGTGGCCAAAGGGCTTCTTGTTATTTTGATTGTCACGTGAAAATCAAAATAAAAAGGAACAAGTTAAGATTTGATTTTAATCAGACTGCACAAACGTGCGTCTTTTCTGATGACTTCTGATTTCATTTACAGAGATAAATTAACGACTTATGAAGGGGTCACAAAACATAACGAATGATTTAAAGTATATGCAGCCAAATTCCTTATATCAATATCAGTTTCAAATATTTTCAATATTCCAAATGAATTCAAATCGCCATTTACGTACTGGATTTCTAAACTCTATAAAAACAATACTATATTATCAACAAAAATAAAAAGCAGATGCCAGTACTTTTGTAGCAAGTCTCTTTGTGTACTGCTTAAAAAATTATTGATGTCAGTGAAGGAAGAATTTTATGCAACAATACATATTCGCAAAGTTGTTAAAATCAGATGTGGATACTTTAAATCTTAGAGTTGTGCTATTATCAGTAATATGTAAACGTTTTCAAGACTTTAAAGACTTTCAAGACATTCACAACAATCAATTCCACGTCCACAAGTCCACTTCAATAACAGTTGCTTTTTGCCAATAATGTAGACATACTATTTTCCACGGGGTCATAATTCCGCGGAATCTCTAATTTTGTTCAATCCGCTGGTAGAAAATTAAGCGGATATCTTAAGACTCTCTTTATATGCCTTATATTTGTAATAGGTTCAATGGGACAAATTTCCGCGGAAAATTTGTGACCGCGTATATAGCGTAAATTAATACCACGCGAAAAAAAAACTTCTACAGTATGCTTTTTATATTAACTTCAAAATTGTTATGTGTGTGATCAGGTCTACTCTTGATTTATATTCTTTCAAGAGACTTCTGATCTTGACGAATATTCGTTATCTGCGTATCTCTTTTGAAAAAATCCAATGCATCATACAAATTTGTTTGGTTTATTAAAGCTTAACGAATGTAGAAAATGACCATTAATTTTCAAATACACACTCCTCTACTTTGCTTGATTTGTCGGCATTGCAATGACAAAAAGAAGTGACTTGCAAAATTGATTTATATTATACTGTAAACCAACTCTTATTCACGTTCGAGAAATATGGGCGAGTATTTGTAGAAAATGTTTCCTCAATCGCGAAAATTAATCGTCGCGGATTGATTTCAACCTGACGAATAAAAAGGACGCGCATAGTAGTTGCTTTACTTCTAGTACATACTTCTATCTTTAAGGTTTTATATTTTAGTATATAATCGAAACTAAGACTGCGTTTATTTAGAAAAGTGTAATATTTTAATACCGTATAAAAAATGAAAATTTATGGTCCCTTACAAATTCTCGATAGAAAATCTGAAAAAAAAACAACATTGTTGTTCAAACAAGAGGCCCAGGGGCCTTATAAATCACCTAAGTATTGTGCAACAACTTTCAAACAATTAAATTTGGTTCGTGTTTTAAACCAGAGTCCATGAAGTTCGCAATTCACAATTTTGAAAGAGGCACCATTGCTTATCATAATTATAGACTTAACATTCTTACTCTATTTACTTAATACCCAAAGTCAGATCAGAGTAACAAAGAGAAAATGCACTTCCACTTTATAACCAGTTGTGCACATCATCCCAAAGGAACTACTGACCTTGGGGCCACATATTTCAAAATTTTGCAAATTTTATCATAAAATGGTTGATTAATATCAAAGAGCAGATTTCAAAGCAATTTATTTTCAGACTATGTACCCCCCCCCCACCCCCACCCCTGACCGTGGGAGGGGGGGGGGGCATAAAAATTACCATTTTGCTAGATGCACCTTTCTTCATCATAAATATATATTCTTGGATCAATGGCGTAAAACCCAAGAGCAAAGGAAATATTTTCAAAGAATTAATGTATTTTCACTATATAATCAATAGAGCCCCGCCCTAACACCAGAACCCCTGACCCTGGGGCCATCAAATTCACAATTTTGGAAGAGGCACTCTTGCTTATCATAACTATATACTTAGTTTATTTAATACCCAGAAGCAGAGAAGAAGATTTTCAAAGAATTAATCCATTTTCACTATATGATCAATAGAGCCCCGCCCTAACACCAGAAACCCTGACCCTGGGGCACCAAAATTCACAATTTTAGAAGAGGCACTCTTGCTCAACATACCTATGTACTTACATAGTTTATTTAATATCCAGAAGCAGAGCAGAAGATTTTCAAAGAATTAATGCATTTTCACTATATGATCAATAGAGTCCCGCCCTTACACCAGAACCCCTGATCCTGGGGCCATAAAATTCACAATTTCAGTAGAGGCACTCTTGCTCATCATAATTATGTACTTAGTTAGTTTATTTAATACCCAGAAGCAAAGAAGAAGATTTTCACAGAATAAATGCATTTTCACTATATAACCAATAGAGCCCCGCCCTAACAACAGAACCCCTGACCCTGGGGCCATAAAATTCACAATTCTTGCTCATCATAACTATGTACTTAGTTAGTTTACTTAATACACAGGAGCAGAGAAGAAGATTTTCAAAGAAATCATGCATTTTCACTATATAATCTATGTAGCCCCGCCCTAGCACTAGAACCCCTGACCCCAGGGCCATGAATTTCACAATTTTGGTAGAGGACTCAATGCTCATTACATTCATGCCAACAGTTTGCCTGCTTGATGTCCAGGAGTAAAGAAGAAGATTTTTAAAGATTACAATAATTTTAGTGGTTTTGGCCCCATCCCTCAGGCCCCAGGGGGGCAGGACCATAAAATTCAAAATTTTTGTTCCACTTCACCTATAGATGCTGTATACCAAATTTGGTTGAAATTGGTTCAGTGGTTTCAGAGAAGAAGCTGAAAATGTTCAAAGATTAACACACGACGCACGACGCACGACGCACGACACACGACACACGACACACGACGACGGACGAAAACGGATAGTAATAGGTCACCTGATTTACTCAAGTGACCTAAAAATGTATGAATTTGCTTTTAATGGAGAGACTAAGAAATTTTAATTATTATATAAATTGCGAAAACGGATAGTAATAGGTCACAATGAAAAACCTGATTTACTCAATTGACCTAAAAATGTATAAATTTGCTTTTAATGGAGAGGCTAAGAAATTTTAATTATTATATAAATTGCGATTATTTTATCAGCTGGACATTTTGTTAGAAGACGGAGTTAATAACACTGAGGAAATACAGAAAACTGTGGACAACACTTTATTGACAATGAAAAACCTGACCTCCAGGACGGCCAATCTGAGTGTTTTTGGTGCAGGTCTCATTTACCTATAAGAGATATGGATGATACATCTAAGGATGCACACTACCAGGCTTGCTTCAGTTGCTGAATCTGACCTATTTTTCTTGAGTGAACAGGTTAAAGTTTTTGGTGCAGGTCATAAGAAAGCCCTATTGACCAAACTTGCATGGATGATACATCTAAGGATGCACACTACCAGGCTTGCTTCGGTTGCTGAATCTGAATATTTTCCAAGAGGTATATCTAATAAATGCATATTGAATTTTACAATAATTAGGAAATTAAATGTAAACTTTATATTTGATTTTGTTTCGATCAGCATGGTCCCACCTTAAAAGTATAACAAGATATTGCTACATCTTAGGATGCACACTAATGAACTTGCTTCGGATGCTGAATTAGACATACATTTTTCATATAATGGACCAGGTAAAAGTTATGCATGTCTAAAAAAACTAAAATATTTAAAAAATACTAAAAGTACGTTCCTTTCAAAAAGACACATATATTCATTTTTTTTTTTTAAACTTTCAGACGTTTTTTGAGGTGGTAGACAAGGTTTTATCAATCGACAATGCGAAATCATGGACTGACGTACAAGAAAAGGTACTGCCCGAACATGAAAAAATAAAGTTTATGTTCATCAGAGTTTTGTAGAACGTTTTTATCAAATTTATTTTCAGAATATCTACTGAATTTTTAAATTCTGTCTACTAAATTTATATATACTATAGAAGGACAAATTTTTTTTTTTTTTGGGGGGGGGGGGATTTTTTCAAGAGTAACCAAATTCTATAAAAAGTCATAAAAAATGTACGGGATTTGATTTCATTGATAACTGTTAAGAACAAAATAAACAAAATAAATTCCCCAACGAATATTTCTGCTTTAACAGTACATTCTAGTGATTAAATTTGAATATCCTTACTATAGACGGAGAAAGATGCTAGTTTCCTATTGAAGAACATGGATAGACTCAGTGAAGTAATCATGAAAAATGAAAACGTAACACCAACAAATTTCACTGGCATAAATTTTGGTAAGGGTTTCTTAACAAGCAATAATCTTATTGCAAGAATTTAATGTTGAACAGATTTGTGCTGTGGATGCATATTAAAAATTTTATGAACTTTTTAGAGGTGACCATTGATCAAACGAATATACACGATTCAGGGATAATTTTTCCGTATGATTTGTCAAACGATACATCAAGTTCAATGGATGAATATGCTACCTTTTTTGAACTTCCGAAGCAGGCAAAAAGATCCGAAAAAGGTAAAATCAACAGTGTTTTTAAAGGTTTCTCTTTTATTTGTTCTTATAATTATTTCATAGAATGCTCATACTATTTTAAATTTGATATTTTACAGCTATAGCTTATGTTGCTGTGTTATATAAAACTATGTCGGAGTTTCTACACACGAGTTCAGATCTAAAAAGGTAAATATAAATATATCCAAACATCTATAGTTGGATTGCAAAACAGGTATTTTTCATTTAAAAAAGTGTTTGATGCTACGTCGCTGTATTTCAATCTTGACAATCTGAACTTGGGTGTGTGTGTGTTTGTTTTTTAAATTTAGATTTTTTCTTTGATTAAAAAGTTAATACTTTATAATTTGTTTCAATTTTCAAATTTAACCCAGTTGAATATATTTCAGAGAAGATAATTTGATAAAAGGGAAAGCAAATCGGAAATCGAAGGAAGATGAAGATATAAATTCTGAAATTTTGTCACTGACTACGCAGAGAGATTTGGGGGATCTTTTTCCTCCTCTAAATCTGACCTTTAAACACCTCCACCAGGTAGGTACATCACCGTCATATGTTAAAAGAATGTGCTATAAATATATCCTGTAAAAGTGTTACTATTTCATTTCAAACTTTTATCTCAATTTCATTCTCTTCATTAATTGGATGAAAATTGATTTAAATACATTCAAAAGATATACATCATTGAGAATGATTTGTCTCCCTTTTATTAAACCTTTTTCAAGATCAAAAGCAGTAAACGTAAGGAAGTTTGTGTATCTTGGAATTATACTGAAAAGTAAGTAAACGTTTATATTTTATATTCTGTATCTTTTGAAGATCTTTCCATTCACATGTGGCTTTTACTGATAATGATTTCTATTTGCCTTTATCTTACCAGAATAATCTTTTTTAAAAGATGGCAGTAATAAGAAAGAGACCTATTTTTATTTTATAAAGATAATCATGGATTTAAAATATATGAAATCCTATTTTAGTGATAAAGAAAAATAAATTGAAAGGAAAAGAAATGCATTTGAGAAAAGTGTAGCCCAGCAAATAGTTGGAATTATGATGCGCATTACCGCTCTTTTATTAGCCAAACCGTTGTTATATGCCTTTGATGTAGAATGTATTTGAAAAACGTTTCTATGAAAAAATGAAAATACATGTACTTGCCATGGCTTTTATAGTTAAACATATCGACGATCTTTCAATAAATAATAGTTTCTCTGATTCGAATGCTGAATCAAGACATCCTTCCGAAAAGCATTTCGTAAATTCTGTGTTTGTTGAATGGCCATCTTAGGAAATATAATCAATCAGAGGGTTTTATATTGACTAATGTTTTTTAGAAACGTTGTAAGACATTTGTTTTTATATTTAATTTGTAGATGATTCAGTATGTAAATAAAACCTTAGCAATTTGTCTGTCAGTATTTGAATTAATAAATGATTTTATATTTCAGAAGAGGGATCTAGATACATGTGTCCTTCATTAGTCAGTTTTTTTTTCATGCAATTGTAAATGGAGATTATAGGGCGCACAGTTTTCTTTTAGTATTTTCGTCTGTTTGGCTGCAAAAACTTCAATTTTAAGCATACCTTTTAAAGAGTTACGAAGATTCCATAATTTCATAATTCAAATATGTGACAAGGTCTTTCATTTAATGCCTTTTTTTTCACGACTCTGTAAAAGCTATGGCAAAACTTTATCCTTGGATAACTGACTTCTCATAATTTTCACAGTATATTTCCTAGCAGTATTTTCTTTTATGACCTTTCTCTTAGAGATTGACATCCTTTTTTTTAAAGTTGTTGATTGTAACATCGATATCTAAATGTTTAGAGATCTGTCTTTCAATTCACTTATGGATTTCCTATGACAAGGTATCACTTTGGATTAGTGTTAATCCGGTAACTTACTGTTCGATAGAATTTATTTCGAATACCTTTCTTTACTGCCATAAATATCTTGTTAATGCCATAGCATTTTTATTTCACCTTAGTTTTCCTTTTAAACAATTTGGTATTATTGGTTATGACAGTGACCCTAGAGTTTATCCTTTATGTACTTTATAAAATTGTACTCATGAACTGCCATGTGGGGGTCGAGTGTTTCAAAATCGCGTCGCTTTTTTGTCTTGTTTGTATCATAGACTTATCTCTGTTGTTTGAGCTCTTTTTTTAATAAGAATTTTTCTTTACGACTCTGTTTATCAAAGAAAGAATTGAATGTAAATGAAAATTTGATGTAAATTGAATGTCTAAATTAAAACTAATTTTGTAGTGACTAAGCAATGAAGCATTTCCTCTCCCTCGTTCCACCGACAAAAAAATATCAAGGATTAAAGGGACTGGGGGGTTGTGGCAATTTTTAGACAATGATCTCCTTTAAAAGAAGAGCTCCATATGAAGATATACAAAAATTATCAAATTTCAAAGCTAAAATTTTGGAAATTTTTCTTTGCCAAATGATAATTGACAACTTAAGATATCAAATCTAAAAAAAATCAAGTTATATCTGGTGGTTAATTTCATTAACCCCCCAGCCTCCTTAAATCATCAGAATAATTTCAAGTTGACTAATGAATATTTTTTTTAAATAAGATTTTAAATTTGTTTTCTATCTCAGCAAGTGGTCATCCAAAGGCTGCAAAGTAGTTTCCTCCAATAGCAGGAGAACAGTTTGTCAGTGTACACATCTGACCAATTTTGCCATTCTGATGAGACCATATACATCAGTAAGAAAGTTTTTAGTAACCTAGCTATGAAGTTCCCAAGGTGTGAATCTAGCATTTCTAGCTTAGAGGATTTAATATCTACAAGACCATCAAAGCATGAGACTCTTTTAATATAGAGCGGTATAGTTTCTTGTTGGATAAAAACGAAAATAAACAAATTCACATTCCAAGAACTTCATTTATTTTAGGATAAGGAAGACAAAACCTCGCTTAAGACGTTATCTCTCGTGGGAATTATCGTGTCCATTGCTTTTACAGTTTTAACCGTAGTAATCTACGCCATGATATGGAAGTACGTTACGTTCAGACTTGAATAATTTCATTCAAAATAAGAATTATTTGAAATTATTTTTTTAATGAATAAAACATTATATTTCAGACATATAAAGAGTGATCAAAATGTCATACTGTTAAATCTCTGTGTATCCTTGGTTTTATCCTATGTGATATTTATCTCGGCTGTGGAAGAAACAAATGATGAGGTAAAATTTATTCTGTCATCATTGGTATGTGAAGAAATTATTTTTATGCAACATTGGTGATCTGGCAAATTCCTATCATAAAGATCGACCACACAATCATAACCCAACACATATATTGTGTTAGCATTGTCATTTAGAAGATGACATATGTGAACATAGTCATTTATAAGATGACAAAAAATTAAATATTATCTATATAAATATTATGATTAAATATTATCTATATAAATATTATGATAACAAAATCAAGCCGAAAAAAAAACAGAAAATACTGCTTGTTATCCTCTTTGTTGCTTTTATGAAAATCAGTGAATATGACAAAGTGACTTTCCTTGTTACACAACAATACAGAACATTGTACATTGACAAAATAAAATGTACAATAACCCCCCTCTCTCTCAAAATATCCAAAAAGGATTGCAAATGAAATATTCTGATATCAATTTTTTTTTAATTTTATAGAACTTGTGCATTGCAATGACCGCCATAATCCATTATCTTTTCCTGGTGACCTTTTTCTGTATGATGGGGATGGGAGTCTACTATTTTATGAGCATAACCGTGACATATTACGCAATGCATGTGGCGAACAATTTCAAGTCCAAATCCAGAGTACATTGGTTTCTTTTGGGAGGATGGGGTGAGTTATGACTTTCAGCGAAGCAAAATAACTTATATTAATATCTATGAGGTTTAATAGTTTCGACTGTGATTGTGATTACTCAACACATGTAAGATAGACATGCTTAGTCATCTTTAGGTATGCCTGTACTGTACATATCTATGAGGAATACATTCTTAGGAGATTATCAAATGTTTTATGAACTACAATTTCGTTTCAGGTATTCCACTAATCATTGCGGTTTTAACTTTAGGAGCATTCTGGGGAAATAATTATCACGCCAAAAATTAGTATGTTGCATGTAAAAACATTATAATTGTAACTTTGTAATATAATATTGAGGGTTTACATGTAAATTAAATGAAAAGGACAAGTGTTGACAAAACCTGAATATAAGCATGACACACGTGTACATAGATGCATATCTCTTAAACTCTTTCTTTTTTAATGTAGCATAAAGAGCAAAGTTTAGATTTAAATATTACCGAATAAACTATTCTTTTATTGTAAATGTTGTAAAGTAATTTCAAATTCAATTTCTAAGCTTAATTGTCATGATTTCAATTGTCTAAGAACTCAAAGTTGAACTTAAACTGATACAGAATCTCTTTTTTTTCTAGTTGTTGGCTCTCGATGAAAAGTGGTTCCCTTCTTTTATTTATTGTCCCAGTTTGCATCATTGTCTTGGTATGTAAAAGAACTTTCTTTAAAAACATTTTGGTCAGAATTCTTCTGAATGTAAAATAGGGTATCATAAGCTTAAAAGAGCAAAAGGAGAGGGTTATTTCATGTTTATCAATTGATATCTAATTATGAAAAAGGATTATTCTGACGAACATTTCCACTCGGATTTATTTATCGCGTAGGACAAGAACAAAAACTCTGAAAAATTGAACACAATGAATGAATAAGCATATTTTTATTTACTTTTAGTAGAAAAGAAATCTATGCAGAATTAAACAACCTGAGTTTCAATTCATTTTTCAGATAAATTTACTTATAATTGTATCTTTAATGCGTGTCTTATTTGCAACATCTACAATGATCAAGTCAACACTTCATAAAAAAGCTGTGTAAGTACTGATGATAAATCAATATTTCATATTTAAACAAAATGATCCTTTTCATACTGAATATCAATCTTATTGTATAGTAAATAATATAAACTTTTCAAAACGCGAAGAAAACAAACAGAAGAACTTCTGAAACAACCAGAGAGCTGGACCTTGTTTTACAAGAGAGTTTGATACAGTTAGGAAACTTTAATTTACACTTCAGTCACTTGTAATTTTTTTTTTTTTTTTGGTTAATCAAATATATTTACATCCACTGAATATTTTCTCCTTTATTGCTTAAGAAAACCCATTGCGTTAATCAGTGCATGAACTACACTAGGCATGTCACCTGTACAGATTTCTTTATCAGTGGCTGTTCCATCAATAAAGCGTACAAAGACGTTCGCATCATTAATACAATAATTAATCTTTTTAATCCTACTTTAAATAATTATTTAAACAGATATGAATATATACAATATAAAATGTCTTTCTTTGGATGTCGCAGCTATTGCAGAAAAAAATTACAAAACCCGAGTTTCGCTATTGTAGTTTTCACGCAATAAAACCCCTGTCGGCCCCCTTAAGAATTTTGTTTTTCCTTTTAGATTTATTCGTATATGTATGTTCTTTTGTAAACCAGGGCCCTCGTTCCTGGATAGAGTTAGCAGAGTTTCCTCTGTCGACACATGCCCTGAGTTCTCATTTGTTAAGATTTGAAGCAAAAATTAGTAGAAAAGCTATGACAGTGAATTCGGTATTAGATACACAAATACAAATACAACCAAGGGATAAGTGGTATATGTATCACATGTAATAAACACAATTACTAAAGGAATGAAGAAACCATTAAAAAATAAAACAAATGGAAAAGTTGACTACAAGAGATGCATTTTGATAAAGGTTTTAGTTAAGAAAATTATATTCTGTTCAATTATTTATTGTATAAACAGGTCAGGATTAAGGTCTCTGGGTACACTTGTACCGGTATTAGGAGTTACCTGGATATTTGGAATCCTGGCTGTAAACGAGAACGCAGAAGTATTCCAGTATATTTTCATCATCGCCAATTGCTTACAGGTATGATGGCTGCCGAAAATTGTGTCGTTTGTTATTTAATTTTATTTTATTTGTTATTCTTTAAAATGTTTCAACGAAATACTGTATTTCTAATTTCAAGTACGTACATATTTTTTAATCTCAAATTTTTCAATTCAAAACGTTCTTACAGTTTTGATTTTCAACTTTTATTTGTTTATTAAAATAGGTCTTATATATCCATAGCAGAAACATATTGTACTTATTAAAATTTTAACAATTTATTACTTTCCAGGGACTTTTCATATTTGTCTCACATGTAGTATTGAACAAAAAGGTAAGTTTTTGTTTTTTTTATCCTTTATTAAAGGTCCCATGAGTGTTTTAATGCATTTTTGTTCGTTGTCAGTCATCTATCAATCGTCTGCTAATTTTTGAGTTTTCAATTTTCTGTCAAGTAACCTAGATCCAATTTTACCAAACCTGTTACTAAGCATTCTTTGGAAATGTTAATTTAAAATTGATCAAATCCTAGGATAATTATAAGATAATAGTAAAAGGGATGGGCATTGGAGTCGTT